TGACGAAACAGGCCTTTTTTGGGAAGAAAATGCCAAAGAGGCCTTCATTACACAAGAGGAAAAGGAAATGCCAGGCCCACAAGCCTATGAAAGCCCGGCTGACGCTAATGTTCTGTGCTAATGCTAGTGGGGATTTCAAAGTGAAGCCATTACTAGTGTACCATTCTGAAAATCCCAGAGTGTTCAGGAAAAACAATGTTATGAAGAGTAAATTGTGTGTTTTGGAAATCTAATAGTAAGGCATGGGTCACGAGGGAAATTTTCGTCGAGTGTTTCAATGAAGTGTTTGGCCCTAGTGTGAAGGAGTATCTCCTGGAAAAGAAATTGGATCTCAAGTGCCTGCTAGTAATGGACAATGCACCTGCTCATCCTCCAAACTTGGATGACCTAATTTTTGAGGAGTTTGGGTTCATCACAGTAAAGTTCTTGCCCCCGAATACCACTCCTCTCCTCCAACCCATAGACCAGCAGGTTATTGCAAACTTTAAAAAACTCTACACAAAAGCAATGTTTCACAGGTGCTTGACTGTGACCACAGACACTCACTTGACCCTAAGGGAATTTTGGAGAGAACACTTCAGCATCCTCCACTGCATAACCCTTATAGGTATGGCTTGTGAGGGAGTGACTACCAGGACTTTGAACTCTGCCTGGAGAAAATTGTGGCCAGATTGTGTCGACAAGAGGGATTTTGAAGAATTTGGGACTGACCCTAATGAGCCTATGTCTGTTGTAAAATCAATTGTGGCACTGGGGAGTTCCATGGGGTTGGATGTGAGTTTGGAGGATGTGGAAGAATTGGTGAAGACCACAATGAAGAGCTCACCACTGAGGAGCTGCAAGAGCTTCAGCAGAGGAGCAACACATCGCAGCTCAGAATCTTCTGCTGCAGAGGAGGAGGAAGAGAGATGGAAGAAGGTGCCTTCTTCAGAATTAAAGAGATTTTTACTATGTGGGGTAAGATGGAAAGCTTTATGGAGAAACATCACCATAACAAGGTTGTTGCAAGCCAGTTGGCAACATGTACAGTGACAAAGTCTTGGGCCATTTTAGGGAAGTGTAAAGAGATGCCCAGAAACAGAGCTCCTCCACAGTTATTTTGTGAGACAGGACTCCAGTGACTCTCAAGGTGGTCCTAGTGGCATTAAGAAACAGAGAAGAGAAGCAACCCCAGAAAAGCAAATGGTACCTGAGGTGTTGATGGAAGGGATTCCCTTCCAAACTATAAACAATCCACTCTCTCTCCTCCTCCAGTCTCCCATACACTAAGAAGAATCTCCAATAAAGGTAAGTGTTATGCTGTTAATGTTTCATTCATCATTTCCCATTGTATTGTTTATGTACTACATGCATATTTCATGTTAAAATTTTTTTTGTTTTAATACTTCTGGGTGTCAGGAACGGATTAATTGTATTTACATTATTTCTTATGGGGAAAATTGATTCGTAAATCGTAAATTTCGTTTATAGTAACGGCTCCAGGAACGGATTAATTACGAACAACGAGGGACCACTGTACGTATAAAGATACACAACATATCCCTCCAAACTGCCAATATCCCAAACCCCTCCTTTAAAGTGCAGGCATTGTACTTCCCATTTCCAGGACTCAAGTCCGACTATATGAAAATAACTGGTTTCCCTGAATCCCTTCACTAAATATTACCCTGCTCACACTCCAACAGATCGTCAGGTCCCAAGTGTCATTCATCTCCATTCACTCCTATCTAACACGCTCATGCACGCTTGCTGGAAGTCCAAGCCCCTCGCCCACAAAACCTCCTTTACCCCCTCTTTCCAACCCTTTCGAGGACGACCCCTACCCCTCCTTCCTTCCCCTATAGATTTATATGCTTTCCATGTCATTCTACTTTGATCCATTCTCTCTAAATGACCAAACCACCTCAACAACCCCTCTTCTGCCCTCTGACTAATGCTTTTATTAACTCCACACCTTCTCCTAATTTCCACACTCCGAATTTTCTGCATAATATTTACACCACACATTGCCCTTAGACAGGACATCTCCACTGCCTCCAACCGCCTCCTCGCTGCTGCATTTACCACCCAAGCTTCACATCCATATAAGAGTGTTGGTACTACTATACTTTCATACATTCCCTTCTTTGCCTCCATAGATAACGTTTTTTGACTCCACATATACCTCAACGCACCACTCACCTTTTTTCCCTCATCAATTTATAATTAGTATTATATCAAATAAATGAATAAATTCTGTAATGCTCTTATTGATTTTTGTGGGCATATAGTAAGAATTAACACAAATTGATTTTTGGGTAAAATCTCAAAATTCTACATGCTAATATGGTGTCATAGAAGGTGCTAATTGTACAAGAGATAATAAATGATAAACACAAAAAAGATACTAGGGGGAAATAATTTATAACTGAAAAAAGTATGTATTAATTTATAAGGCTGTGTATTTTATTAATATTATTATTATTATTAGTTATATTTTATTCCACTGGGCATCTCCCACCAAGACAGGGTAAACCCCCCAAAAAAGAGGAAACTCATTCATCATCATTCATTCAATTGCTGTCTTGCCAGAAGCACACAGACATCACAATTCAGATGAGCCTCTAAACTGCAGCTTCCTTTATCCTCTGAGTGCAGTAGGGATGGCACCAAAGGGAGGCCTACAACCCCCCAAAATTCCCTCAGTCTTCAGAAGCCCCTAAATAAAAAATAGTAATAATAATAATGCTGCATCAAAACAGTCTCCTAGGCCCCCTTCCAACCAGATAGCCCAAAATGTAGAAATTCTCACACTGCCTCAGGAGTAGTGGCTAATCAGTTCCCCCAAATCCCTTCAACAGCACATCAAGTCATAAAAACCACTTGCCTCTACTCACTCTGATCTATCATGGTTACACAAGCCAACATGTTAGTAGTTCAACCTCCTGGCACTTGGAACCTCCTTTACATCCCTCCCTCCCTCCAACCCTTCCCAGGATGACCCCTCCTTCTCTCTTGTTTTTTTTTTTTTTTTTTTTTTTTTTCCAACAAGTCGGCCGTCTCCCACCGAGGCAGGGTGACCCAAAAAAGAAAGAAAATCCCCAAAAAGAAAATACTTTCATCATCATTCAACACTTTCACCACACTCGCACATTATCACTGTTTTTGCAGAGGTGCTCAGAATACAACAGTCTAGAAGCATACACATATAAAGATACACAACATATCCCTCCAAACTGCCAATATCCCAAACCCCTCCTTTAAAGTGCAGGCATTGTACTTCCCATTTCCAGGACTCAAGTCCGACTATATGAAAATAACCGGTTTCCCTGAATCCCTTCACTAAATATTACCCTGCTCACACTCCAACAGATCGTCAGGTCCCAAGTACCATTCGTCTCCATTCACTCCATTCACTTATAGGTAGTAGGTTGGTAGACAGCAACCACCCAGGGAGGTACTACCGTCCTGCCAAGTGAGTGTAAAACGAAGCCTGTGATTGTTTTACATGATGGTAGGATTGCTGATGTCTTTTGTCTGTCTCATAAATATGCAAGATTACAGGCATGTCTTGCTACTTCTACTTACACTTAGGTCACACTACACATACATGTACACATTTATTTATACACACTCATCTGAGTTTTCTTTGATTTTATCTTAATAGTTCTTGGTCTTATTAATTTTCCTTTTATATCCATGGGGAAGTGGAATAAGAATCTTTCCTCCGTAAGCCATGCGTGTTGTAAAAGTCAACTAAAATGCCGGGAACAATGGGCTAGTAACCCCTTTTCCTGTAAAGATTACTAAAAAGAATAAGAAGAAGAAAATTGTCTCTCTTGTTATTGTTATTATTATTATTATTATTTTCAGCTGTACATTTAGTGCTTCTTTTTTATTATAATAACTTATTTTCAGAAAAATACATCAAATACTAATGTCAAACAATATTGCTGTATTAGTGGCCAGAAAGTCATTATTACTAATTATTATTATTATTATTATTAATATCATTATCGTAAAAAGCTTTAAACCTATGGTGATCATTCAACACTAAAACTAGTTTTTTCGTGGGTGACTAATATCGGCTTTATATTTTCTCTCTTCTTAAAATAATTATTGCATTTTACAATGTTCAAAATTTGTGTAAACAAGATACTGTACTATGTGGGTGCAAACCTAGGATAATCCACATAACACATTGTTTACATAGTTTGTTACATTCATGAAAGTGTGAAATCTGTTTGCATACTGTACTTCAATAGGGTTTTAATTCAGAAAAATTTAGTATTTTGACATATTTATATAATGGTATCTTTTCTTCCAGGATCGTTTGGGACATCTTTCCTGGCACCAGGCTGATTCGTTTTATAGCAGTTGACAAGACTACTCACAAACTCTCTTCTTGGAATCTTGAGGACCAGAGCCTTACAAATTTGATGAATGCATTTATGATGCTTGGGCCAGCAAAAAATGTAGGAGTTGGGAAACTTGATCTCTTGAAAGGTCTGAGAGCTGCCATTGAAGCCTTGACAGAGCCATCTGCTATTCAGCATGAGAAAAGAACTTCTCTTACGGAGAATGCAACAAAGGTCCTTAATAAAGGAAGAATTATACTAGTGACAAAAGTAGATTGTGAAGAGGAAGTAAAAACTTTAAAGGAAAAATTCCATGATACTCTTTTACATTTGAACAAGATTGCTGCTTCAACAGACAACTTGATGGCTATTAATCACTGTGATCTTGTTCTTCTGAACCTGTGGCCAGAAGGTCCAGGTTGTCCAATACCACGCAGATCTTGGCCAGATGTTTCTACTATAATGTCCTGTGAACTTACTAATATTCAGGGAGGTACAGCTTTGGCACCTAAACTCTGTAACCTTGTACTTAAGCATTATGATTTGGCCTCCACTACTGTAACAGGTATACCTATGAAAGAGGAACAAAATGCTAGTTCATCAGCTAATTATGATGTAGAGTTGTTTCACCCTGCTGCTGCTCATGCAGCCATTCTCAAGGGAATACCAGCAGAAACAGCACATTTGAAAACTTATCGTGAGGGTACCGACTATGAAACAGTGACACTAAAATGGTGTACCCCTCGCAGTAATGCCAGCATAGAACTCCAGCACTGCTCTTCTGCCTATAGAATCACATCTGTTGATGTTAACAGCAGACCATCCTCATGCCTTACAAATTTTTTGCTGAATGGACGTTGGGTAATGCTTGAAATGCCACGGAAGTCAGGAAGCAAAGTAATATCTCATATGTTGGCCTGCCATGGTGGTGATATTTATATCCATACAATGTATACATCAAGAAGCATACTAGAAGATCCTCCATCTATTAGTGAAGGATGTGGTGGTCGTGTTACTGACTATAGGATTCCTGATTTTGGAGAGCTTATTAAAGCAAACAGATTAGCACCTTATCCAGACTCTGCATTAGAAAGTGATGATAATACTACACCACTAGAAAAAAGTCGAGAACAGTTAAGTAGGCATACAAAGTACTGGCCAATTACACTTTCCACTACATCTCTCTTCACTTTAGGGTCACAGATTGAACCACTCACCACTTTAATGCTGAAGGAGACACTTACTGAAGCTGAAGTCATTGAATGTAAACAAGTGATTCTCTGCTTAATGAGCATGGAGGCTCGAGGTGACCCATTGCCATCTCCTATGGCTGGGCAACGTGGAAAAGGCATGAAACGGGAGGACCAGTACAGAGTAGTTTGGACAGAATTAGAGCAATATCTACAACTTCACCTTCATTCTGCTGATCATGAAAAAGTACTTGAATGTTTTATGGAATGCCATAACAAGGTAGAAACCCCAGAATATAAAGGTGATGACAAAGTTGATATTGATCAGGCTCTGAAAGAACTTGATGACTACAACTACATGACAGAGAGAGAGAAAGCAGACTTTAATCTGAGTTCTGGCACAAAACATACACCTGCAGAGTTGCCTATTCCAGATAGCAAACGTAGACGAACTGCACCACCTCCACTAGCACCCATGGGCCGCAGTAGTGGTGTTAGCCTTCTTACTCTATGGGAGAACAAAGTAGCCTCTGAGCAATCTCGACGATGTTTGGAATTCCAAGGTAGGCTTAAAGCAGAGGATAATGTCACAAAGTTATATGTAAGCCTACAGAAAGACAAAGATAAAGATGAGGGATCTCGGAAGAAAACTACCTAAATATTGCATGTATGTATAATAGTTTATTACTATTCAGTTCAAATACTGTATATTGTATGTCATTAAATTCTAGAAAGAAAATATGATACTGAAATATTAAAAATATCTATATGTACTGTAGATGCAAAAGTTCAGTGCTTCACTTTTGTATTTTTAAAAGTCATCTTTACACTTTGTATAAAATACAGGAAATTTTTAATACTGTACCTGCTTGTGACAGTTGTTGACCTACAGAATTGTGCCAGATGAACAAGAAAAAAAATTCTCTTAATTTTTAAAAGTATAGTTCTGTACCATATTTACTCTGCTAAGAGTAAATCAGTCCCATAATATTATTGTGTATATAAATAAAATATTCAGTGTGAATTATTATTATTATTATAATCATGGGGAAGCGCTAAACCCATAGGATTATACAGCGCCTGTGGACGGGAAGATGGAAGGTATTCAGGCTAATTCAGGAAACTGGAGCACAGTCCAATTCCCTAGATCAAGAGCCCCTCACTAGTGTCAAGGAACCTCCCTTGAGGGGTATTCAGTGCAAAAAGGTGTAGTATTTGTTCTTTTCCTTTTTAATTTATATTAGATCATCATTAAAGCTTTAGCTTGTATCAAGCAGTTTTAGATATTTAAGCAGCAGTAGGGGCTTCATTGACATGGGGAAGTGTCTGGAAAACTACATGCAAATTGAAACTGTACAACAGGAATATCATGTATTATTATATTAATAAGGGGATTACTAAACCTATAGGGGTTATACAGTGCTTAGGGTATATGAAAGGCATTCAGGTTCATTACAAGGAAGGGGAATGCAGCCCCAGTTTCTTGGATCAAGAGCCCCTCCTTGGCTTCTAGGAACCTTTGATTAAATTAGATAATATTCATGGGGAGTGCTAAACTGTAGGAATCATACAGTGCTTGGAGGAGTGATAGGCATTCATGTTCAGTCCAAGGAAGGGGAGCACATGTCCAATGCCTTGGATCAAGAGCCCCTCACCAATATCAAGGAATCTTCCTTGAGAGGATGAATACCTCATAAAAGTTACAGCACATGAGAAGGATGTAGTCTAGACACTTGCATTCAGTGTTCTTCTACATGTTGTCCTTTTCCTGTAGGTTAAGTACTGTAGCATCTACATTGCTACCTTGGCACCTGACTTCTGTGAGCAAGACTCATACTGCCTGCACTGCACCTCTTCAAAGCAGGCTCTTTTGCACAGTGAAGAGGCTTTTGGTCTGAGGAATTAGACCTTTTGGTCTTCCGACCAAACCTAACTACTCCCATCCCCGTTTCCCTAGCCCATCCTTCCCATCCCTTCTTTCCCCATCCCTCCCCCCCCTCCCTTTCCTGCTTTTGGCCTTTGGGGTCTTTCCCTCTGAGCTTCTAGCTCCTAGGTTGGAGAAAGGGTGTCATTATCCATCTCATTCCATTGAGATCCTTGGTGATGGCATTGTTTGCCGTGGAGTCTGGATCATCTAGGGATGTCCCAATCCTCCTCCAGTTCCAGGGGGTGGCTAAGGATGTCCTTCAGGTGACAGGTGTATCTCTGGAGGCTGCCTGTTGGCTCTGGCAGGTGGTGGCCAATGGAGGTATGTCTTGTAGCAGATTTCCAGTTGCCCTCTCCTTTATCCGCAGAGGTGGCTTGGCGGATATGAGGTTGCTATCCTGGATTACAGGTTTACTGGCATGAAGAGTAGGGATATGGCCAGGTTCCACATAGCATCTGCACTGTTGGCTGTACAGAGGGCTCTCTTGGGTGCAGAGGGGGATCTAATGTATAATCTCTTTCATTCCTCCTGGAAGCTATCCCTCTACATTCCCCCCACCCATACACATGACCTTCCTACTCCCGGGCCCTTTCCTGCAGCAGTCTTTACAGACCCTGCCATGCCTTTGGACCATTCTTCAGACCTCTCTTCCAACCCGGTACCTTCTCTCCCCTCTGGTACCATGGTTTTGACTGACCCTTTACACACTTCTGGCCTCCATGCAGCTTTGACTGTGATACCAGCTTCCCCACATACAGTGTGTTGATTTTCTGATTGTATATACAACTCAGGACGGTCTGCCTCTAACCTGTCATCGATGATCCTCCATTTTTCTCTCATGCTTCTAAGAAACATCCAACCAAGCAACTCCTCCCACTCTGTTTCAAAGGCCTTCTTGGACAAAATTCTTTATGCTTCAGCCAACTTCTACTACTGTCTTTCCAACCACAGCATCAAGGCACTTCTTTGCCATGTTGGGCAGAACATTTCCTTCCATGTTCTTAAGAGTGGCACATGCATTGTCACAGTACAGAATGCAGACCAGGCACATAATCTTTCACTTCTTGATATTGTTAACAATACGCCAGTTACAACTCACAACCTCATGATCTCTTACTGTCCCTACTTCTTCACCCTCCCAATCATGTGTTTAAATGTTTACTCTCCCCCTCCAATCTAAATTGACGCCACACATCCTGTCTGCAAAGTCTACATCTTCATTTACGTTCAAATCTCCATACTTTGCTGCATTACACTGCAGCCCGCATCTACTTGAACATGTGGTATACAGTCTGTTCTTTACATTTTTCTCCTCTGATTTCTTCCTTACCTCTTTCTCTTCTCTTATTAGATTTTAATGTTCTTCATTTCCTCTGGGGAGGGTTTCACTGTGACTCTTGTGGTTATCAGTTAAGAGACTCTTCTCACTTCTCTTCCCCTCCATGTTTTAAATACGGGTACTCCTACTCATTTCAACCCTCACATTCAAACTTTTTCTTGAATAAATCTCTCAATTTGCTGTTCCTCAACTGCACTTGACTATCTGGTCAGTGCTCCCTGATTTACATGACAGCAATCATTTTCCTATCTGTCTTACTCTTTATGCATATTTTCATCCTCTTTGTATCCCATGTTGGCAGTTTGAATGGGTGAATTGGGCCATTTACTGGCATCAAACTGTTTTTAATAAAGAACCTTCTCCTTTGTCCTCAACTGCTGAGCTATTACAGCTATTTTTGTTCTCGGTTTTAAGTGCAGCCTAAAATACAATCCCTCAAACCTTAGGTAGGCACCCTTAGAAATGCATGCTTTGGTGGTCTTGTACTTGTGCTTGTATGGTGCATTTGAAATGTGCTGCATGGGGCTGATATTGTTATAACAGGACTACAGAGTGACTCCTCGATTTTAACCCATGATTAGTGGCCCACTGGGAAACATGGTCGATAGCATTCTGGAGAGGGGCTGCCACTAGGTAAGCAGTCAGTGCCTGCACAAGCAATAGCAAAGTCATCAACAAAGTGATGACCAAATATTAGATGGGAGAATACAGGCTAGATCATAACCAATAGAAAGAGAGTGGTGCTGAAGGTGTCCCTGAGAGACACCTTCAGCTTGGTTATAGTCAGGGAAAAGCAGATTATCAACCCAGACATGGAAATGTCTGTCAGACAAAAAGTTTTTAAGGAAAAGCAGCAGATTGCCCCAGAGGCCTAAGGAATGAGCTTGGGCTAAGATGTTATATCTCCAAGTAGTGTCATGTGCTTTTTCAAGATCAAAAAAGACTGCGATAACTGAGTGGTTACATTATGAACATGGGTATCTAACCGGGTTAAGGGGTCGATAGTGGAGCGGCCATTACGAAAGCCAAATTGATGAGTGGCAAGACTATTGTCTCTCTCTAAATACCACACCTAATGTCTATTTACTAGACATTCCTTAAGCTTGCAATCTTCACTGGCAAGAGCAATGGGGCATTAGTGGGAGGCACCACAACCCAGAGTACCTGGTTTAGGAAAGGACAAAACTACGGTAGTTTTCCATGGAAGGGGAAGAAACTCTGTGACCGAACAAGATTAAAAAGACGTGACTATCTAAACTGTCGTATCTGGGCGCCTTCGCAAAGACAGTGATTATGTACGAGTGATGGTGAAAATGTTGACTGATAGTAAAAGTTTTTTTATTTCTTTTTGGGTTTTTCTTTCTTTTGGGTCACCCTGCCTCAGTGGGAGATGGCCGACGTGTTAAAAAAAAAAATGGGACTAAGAGGGCTGATGGGCGTAAATGTTGTCCCCACTTGTTAAATTTTGATCCAGGGGATTATGAAAGGGGTAATTATCTGTTAATCTGTTCTCCCACCAATTTCATTGCTGAGGTGGTCTGCACCACCCAAAGGGCATAAGATTAGATTTTAATTTCACCGAGACCATCTTCAGTCGGAGATTGATAGAGTATACAGCTGCTTGAATTTCATGTTGATGTCTTAAAGGTTTGCTCATCCATTGTTGCTTGTTTTGAGAACCTTTTAAATTAACTACCAGATAAATGAATGGTCACTTTAAAATGTACATCATTATTATACAAAAAAATATGCATTAAATCTGAATGGATTATACAGTGCTGCGAGTAGAAATGTGCAAGGGTAGGGGATTAGTAGAGGTAAGGGTTAGTGTAGGGTGTAAAATTCATGTCAAAGTTGGTGCAATTTGTTAGTTTCCATCAAAAAAAGCAAGGAAAAAAGTCTGTTAAAGATGGGGCTTTTGGCAAGGTGGTCAGTTAGATCTAATGAGTATGTGAGGATGATGTAGGGAGTAAATTCTGCACACTTGCTGATAAATAGAGGATTCTATTAAGATATGGTGAGCTGATAATGTAATGTGGCAGTTCTTGCAGAACTGTGATAACGACTTGCTGAATGGAGTGAAGATTAACCCATGACAAGTCAGTCTTAATACTATCAGGCTGTAGGTATGAATCTTGCTCTGTTCAGTGAGGTGACAGGTATTTCTCCATGTGATATCAGTGTGTGCCAGTTGTGCATGTTGGATAGAAAACTTGTCGAGTTCTAACTCAGATTAACGAGCAAACTGATTCCTTCTATGTGAATGCTTTGGCATTTTGTATTATTCACGAGAAGTGATAGACCTATAGGGTTATATGTAGCCTAGGAAATGGGAGGCATTCAGGTTCGATCCAGTAATAGTAGTTAAGTCCCATTCCTTGGCCACAGGATCTATAAGATTTCCTTGTGGGAATTACTAATAACACGTCACTTGCAAATGCTAATAATTTAGGCTGACAGAGTAGCAACTAGTTACTGGGTATGAAGAAGAGGCTAAGTGTATTCTTGAGGTTCCCTGCAGCCCCACATAACACAATCCTCATTATTTCTATCATAATAGTAATACATGTACTGGCACAATATTACATCTGTATATCCTCCTGGTTTATTGTGAAGTGCATTATATATTATATAGCACAAATATAAATAATGTTTTGGTGATTTTTTGAAGTTCCCCTGGGCAAATTAAAGTCATTATCTTTCTTTCTATGGCATCTATTGGTGATTACAAATCCTGCCATAAGTTTTAATTTAATTTACACAGCAGTAAATGCTTAAAGTTCTTTATAATATAAGTAAATATATACTTTTCATATAATTTAAAATAAAAATGGTGCCTACAGTATTATGCCTACAAATGCTGGTTTCTATGTTTACCAGTGGTATAGTAACAAAAACTGCTATGTTGCAATACTTTTTGATATTATTTTATAACATGGTAAATTTATGGGATAAATTTAGCTTTGTAATCAGACTGTACTGCTTAATATATTAATAATAATTAAGTTTTAGAAATATCTTGACAGTTATTTTAAGAGATACTATGCACTTTATACATGTAAACATAAAAATTTCTGTGGTAATGTTAACTCACTGCCTAAAAAAAAGGTAGATAATTTTTTTAAGTCTTAATGAACTCACACTAGGTGTGATATATGAGCAGGTTATGCTCTTGCTAATCACCTGATTTATCACACTGACTCCAATCTTTGATCTACTGTGTAGGGAAATGCTGTGATGCATTAGTATTTTCAGATCAAAGCAGTGGCTCAGATTGCTTGAAACAAAGGCAGGTTCTTTTGGTATATCCCACAATGTCTTGGAGCTAGCTCAAATAATATTTTTGTTAGGTAAACATTAAACATGTTTTGTAATTTTAATGTATTTTTTGCGATCATTTGTGAGGCTTAGCATTGTTAATATCAGATCTTTCTTGCAAATAAATAAGTGTAACTTTAGTGTACAATATTAAAAGAAATTTGCATTTATTCTACAATGATCCAATTCCCACTGCAGCACTACCAATGGAAGCTGCCTTAGAGCAAGGCTGATAGTAGTCCCTTTTTCCTCTCTCTCTCTCTCTCTAGGAGGTGGATTTCACAAAGCAGAAATCATTCTACTACTAAACATTAAGAAGCAATAAGAACTAATAACATAATAGGTATAGTAGACTGATGTCAAATTTATGACAGTTTACCAAGAAAAAAAGGAGCAATAATAAAATGATTACATGCAAAGATCATGAATAACTAAGTCAATAATTTACAAGAAAAAATTTTATCTCAAAATATTTACTGGTGAACTACAAAGCATTGTTACTGTAATTTTTTAAAACAATATTGTTTACTAGCATTGTAAGAAGGAAGATTTTTTTTTTTGTTGCACTATTTTTAAATATATAACATACAGTATATGAAGGCTTTACTCAATGATTTAAGCTGTACTGGAGTGGAAATATAAAACAGTAAGCCAACTGGTTTTATATATACTGTATTGCATATACTTTTCTACATTATATTGTATATCATTGTGCAAGGCTACTTTGTACCACTGGCTGCATATGAAAGGATTTCAAAATTATACTAAGCATATGAAAATTCATATACAGATGATATAATTTAATGCACTGTATGTTTCAGTATAGCAGATTGCATTGTGACAAAAATATGTGATATCCTATTCCTGAATATATCTCGTGTGAAAATGCTGTACCAAATTATCAAAGCTGTGTATCATACAGTGCAATTAAAATATCACATAACCATGTGGAAATTAGGTGTGGAATTAGTAAAAGTATTAGTCAGAGGGCTGAAGAGGGGTTGTTGAGGTGGTTTGGTCATTTAGAGAGAATGGAAGAAGGTAGAATGACTTGGACAGCATATAAATCTGTAGGGAAAGGAAGGTGGGGTAGGGGTCGTCCTCGAAAAGTCTGGAGGGAGGGGGGCAAAGGAGGTTTTCTGGGCGAGGGGCTTGGACTTCCAGCAAGTGTGTCTGAGCATGTTAGATAGGAGTGAATGGAGATGAGTGGTTTTTGGGAACTAACAAGCTGTTGGGGTGTGAGCAGGGTAATATTTTGTGCAGGGATTCAGGGAAACCGGTTAGCCGAACCCGAGTCCTGGAAGTGGGAAGTACAATGCCTGCACTTTAAAGGAGGGGTTTGGGATATTGGCAGTTTGGAGGGACATCTAAATTGTTATATCTGAGAGCCTCTGCAAAGACAGTGATTATGTATGAGTGATGGTGAAAGTGTTGAATGATGAAAGTTTTTCTTTCTTTTGAGATTTTTTTCTTTCTTGTTGGGTTACCCTGCCTCAGTTGGAAATGGCCGACATGTTAAAGAAAATAAAAACAACCATTTTCTGTTATATATTGTACAAGAACAAAATTATGAGGAATAAAATTATATGGGGAGGTAGTAGGTTGTAGACAGCAACTGCCCAGTGAGGTACTACCGTCCTGCCAAGTGAGTGTGAAATGGAAACCTGTAATTGTTTTACATGATGGTAGGACTGCTGGTGTCTTTTTTCTCTCTCATAAAGATGTAAGATTTTGGTGGGATATAGCCGGTTTGTTGAAAGAAGAAGAAACATGCAAGGTTTCAGGTACATCTTGCTACTTCTACTTACACTAAGGTCACACTACACATGCATGTACAAGCATATATATACACACACCCCTCTGGGTTTTCTTCTGTTTTCTTACTAGTCCTTGTTCTTGTTTATTTCTGCTTATCCCCATGGGGAAGTGGAACAGAATTCTTCCTCCATAAGCCATGCGTATCGTCAGAGGCAACTAAAATGCCGGGAGCAAGGGGCTAGTAACCCTTCTCCTGTATACATTACTAAAATTAAAGAGAGACTTTTGTTTTTCTTTTTAGGTCACCCTACCTCAGTGGGATATGGCCATTTTGTTGGAAACAAAAATATATGGCTTTATAGATTTCAAGCATAAAAAATATCTGTAGTATAAAGAAACGACACACTTTCTTCAACTTCTACAAACATAATGCTGATGAACATTAAGTGCTATACTAGTGATTTTACTTATATTTGTCATGACAAAATTTAATATATTGAATTAAAATGCTATAAACAAAATGCATATGCTGTATCTGGTTAAGACAAAAGTGCAAATCTCAAGGCCTTTTTATATAACAATAACATATTTTAATCTGTTACCACCATATAATCAGCATAATTTTCTTTCAAATGCAGCCATTTCTTCCTCGTTGAAAAATTAATTACCACTGTATATTATGCAAATTCAGCTTCTAGCTTCACAATTTTTAAGCCTCTTAAATCTTATTTTTTACTAAACTTGTTGAACACTCGCCCTCAACTAATAGTACACATTTAAATGTAACCCACAGGATTTTGGTTAATATAAATTTGTTATAAAATTTCTTGTAGCATTAAAAATATTATTACATACAGTAATTAAAAAGTGGCAAGGGAAGTGTCAATTAATTTAGCATTAATAAATTCCATGTAATGCTAATTAAATTTTTTTTTTTAAATTAATTGTATTGCTAATACATTATACTGTTTAAGAGGTCTACACACAGTGAAAAAGAAAAAAACACCTTGTTACATAGCATTTTTTTTATGAATTTACAACCATAACATACTAAACTTTGACAGTGACTACAAGTTATCCAATACATTTCCTGACGAGACTAAAGTGTTTACAACAATCTATTTATTTGTTTCTATTACTGTTAGAAGCATTCAGCCAACTGGGGACAGTATGGTTTGTCACAGGCTGTGCTACATCGCTCTCTAGCTTCTAATGCATTGAAGAGAAGTGGCTTCTTGCAGAAAGTGCATTCCTGAAAAATCAAAAGTAGTTAGACGTTAAGTACAAAAAAGTTACCATTTAACATCATGTTATTATATCTAAAAGTAAAACCTTTTAGTACACAATTTACAGCTGGTACTGTGTGTAGACAAACTGTAAACTGAACCTGAGTGTGGAGGTGGGATGTACAGTTCCTGCACACTGAAAGATGGGGAGGGACTGTTGCAGTTTGGAGGATCATTTAAACTGTGATGTACACCCATCTTTTTTTTGGGGGGGGAAACTCTTGAATGAATGATGTGCTAATATTTTTTTAGTCCCCCTACCTTGGTGGGACACAGCTGGTGTAATTAAAAAAAAAATGGTTTTATTTTTTGTGACAAGTTATGCTGGTAAAGTATCTTTCCCTCAGTATATGTAGAAATGATCATTCCTTTGATATGTATTCACCTATATGTGGTTGCAAGGGTCAAGTCACAGCTCCTAAATGCTGGTTTGGCTGTCTCGAGAGTTACTATTGTACTGTAAGTGTATTAAAAAAATTTATATTTCATGAAACAACAAAAGGTTTATCATTAGTGTATTTATAAACCTTCTTTCAACAAATCGGCCATATCCCACCAAGGCAGGGTGACCCAAAAAGAAAAACAAATGTTTCTTTAAATTTAGTAACATGCAGGAGAAGGGGTTACATCATGCATGGCTTAAGGAGGAAGAATTCTGTTCCACTTTCCAATGGAGATAAGCAGAAATAAACTAGAACAATAACATAGTTATGAAAAGGCTTTAAAATGGATAGAGTGGATAGGGGAGCAAATGTGAGACAGATGTTTGCAAGTATATAGTAAATAGGTGGAAGTTACATCAATGCATGCTGTAAGGTTTTTAGAGGAATTTGAGGCTCAGGTTTCAAGGTGTGTAGTAAGCAGAATAGAACTAACTTACCAGTAAAATAAGGCTCAGATAGGGATGGTATGTCATCATGGCGTGTTAATATATTGTAATAGTGGAAGTTGTAAAGAGTAAATCTTAAGGTGTTCGGGTAGTAGGGGTGGTGATTAAATATGTGGAATTAAATACAAAATGGGAAGTGACAAGTTACTATTTGCTGATGATACTGTGGGGTTAAAAGAAAAATGCTAAGGTAGTGGGAGAGGGGTGAGGTAATTAAAGTGAAAAATAAAAATGAGTAAAGAAGGGTATCAGGGATTTAGATCAAAGGTTAGTGGACGAATTTGGAGTGTGTTGTTAAAGGTAGAAAGTTGATAAGTGAACATAGAAAAAAGTAAGGTGATGAGGGTGATCAAATGATTAGATAAAGATAAAAAATTAGGTGAGGAGTATGCAAGTGAATGTTTTCAGATATTTGGGAATTGAAGTATCAGTGGATGGATTTATGAAGGATGAGGTTAATCATAGAATTGATGAAGGAAAAAAGGTGAGTGGTGCATTGAGGTATATGTGGAGGCACAAAATGTTATCTACGGAGGCAAAGTGGCTTAGCGCTTCTTTTTGATTATAATAATAATATGGAGGCAAAGAAGGAAATGTATGAAAGTATAGTAGTACCAACACTCTTATATGGGTGTGAAGCTTGGGTTGTAAATGCTGCAGCGAAGAGGCAGTTGGAGGCAGTGGAGATGTCCTGTCTAAGGGCAATGTGTGGTGTAAATATTATGCAGAACAAGAACTAGAGAGAAAATAGAAGAAAACCCAGAGGGGTGTGTATATATATGCTTGTACATGTATGTGTAGTGTGACCTAAGTGTAAGTAGAAGTAGCAAGATGTACCTGAAATCTTGCATGTTTATGAGACAGAAAAAAAAAATGCCAGCAATCCTACCATCATGTAAAACAATTACAGGTTTCTGTTTCACACTCACTTTGCAGAACGGGAGTACCTCCCTGTGCAATTGCTGTCTACCAACTTACTACCTATAATTTTTTTTTTTTTTTCAACAAGTCGGCCGTCTCCCACCGAGGCAGGGTGACCCAAAAAAGAAAGAAAATCCCCAAAAAGAAAATACTTTCATCATCATTCAACACTTTCACCACACTCACACATTATCACTGTTTTTGCAGAGGTGCTCAGAATACAACAGTTTAGAAGCATACACATATAAAGATACACAACATATCCCTCCAAACTGCCAATATCCCAAACCCCTCCTTTAAAGTGCAGGCATTGTACTTCCCATTTCCAGGACTCAAGTCCGACTATATGAAAATAACCGGTTTCCCTGATTTTTTTTTTTTTTTCAACAAGTCGGCCGTCTCCCACTAAATATTACCCTGCTCACACTCCAACAGATCGTCAGGTCCCAAGTACCATTCGTCTCCATTCACTCCTATCTAACACGCTCATGCACGCTTGCTGGAAGTCCAAGCCCCTTGCCCACAAAACCTCCTTTACCCCCTCTCTCCAACCCTTTCGAGAATGACCCCTACCCCGCCTTCCTTCTCCTATAGATTTATATGCTTTCCATGTCATTCTACTTTGATCCATTCTCTCTAAATGACCAAACCACCTCAACAACCCCTCTTCTGCCCTCTGACTAATACTTTCATTAACTCCACACCTTTTCCTAATTTCCACACTCCGAATTTTCTGCATAATATTTACACCACACATTACCCTTAAACAGGACATCTCCACTGCCTCCAACCATCTCCTCGGTGCTGCATTTACCACCCAAGCTTCACACCTATATAAGAGTGTTGGTACTACTATACTTTCATACATTCCTTCTTTGCCTCCATAGATAACGTTTTTTGACTCCACATATACCTCAACGCACCACTCACCTTTTTTCCCTCATCAATTCTATGATTAACCTCATCCTTCATAAATCCATCCGCCGACACGTCAACTCCAGTATCTGAAAACATCACTTTTTCATATCCTCCCCCAATTTTGATATCCAATTTTTCTTTATCTAAATCATTTGATACCCCTCATCACCTTACTCTTTTCTTGTTCACTTTCAACTTTCTTCTTTACAACTTCCCAACTCATCACTAACCTTTGCAATTTTTCTTTAGAATCTCCATAAGCACAGTATCATCAGCAAAAAGTAACTGTTCAATTCCCATTTTGAATTTGATTCCCGAAATTTAATCCCACCCCTTCTCCCGAACACTCTAGCATTTACTTCCTTTACAACCCCATCTATAAATTTATTAAACAACCATGGTGACATTACACATCCTGTCTAAGACCTACTTTACCGGGAAGTAGTCTCCCTCTCTTCTACACACCCTAACCTGAGCCTCATATCTCATAAAAACTCTTACAGCATTTAATAACTTACACCTATTCCATATACTTGCAACATCTGCCACACTGCTCCTCTATCCACTCTATCATATGCCTTTCTAAATCCATAAATGCAATAAAACTTCCCTACCTTTATCTAAATACTGTTCACATATATGCTTCAATGTAAACACTTGATCTACACATCCCCTACCCACTCTGAAACCTCCTTGCTCATCCGCAATCCTACATTCTGTCTTACCTCTAATTCTTTCAATTATAACCCTACCGTACACTTTTCCTGGTATACTCAGTAAACTTATTCCTCTTTAATTTTTACAGTCTCTTTTGTCCCCTTTCCCTTTATATAAAGGGACTATACATGCTCTCCGCCAATCCCTAGGTACCTTCCCCTCTTTCATACATTTATTAAACAAAAGTACCAACCACTCCAACACTATATCCCCCCTGCGTTTAACATTTCTGTCATGATCCCATCAGTACCAGCTGCTTTACCCCCTTTCATTCTACGTAATGCCTCACGTACCTCCCCCACACTTACATTCTGCTCTTCTTCACTCCTAAAAGATGGTATACCTCCCTGACCAGTGCATGAAATTACTGCCTCTGTTTCTTCCTTAACATTTAAAAGTTCCTCAAAATATTCTCGCCATCTACCTAATACCTCCATCTACTAACTCCCCTACCTATAAATATCTTAATCTAAATCCCTGACGCTTCCAATTTTCAAAGTAACAAAAAAGGGTACTGTATCGAATTAGTGGGATGAAGGATACTTGTGTCATAGTTACTATGTGTGGTGATGCAATTCAGGTTATTAATGTGAACTGTGATTTCTGCACACTTTTGGCAAGCCAGCCTATTGAATGAAGGATGGTGAATGCGTTTCATTTTGGTAAGACTACCATACCTTGCTGAAATATAAACAATGTGGTAAAAAAGTACCTGGTTAAATTTCAAACCTGCTTCCCTTTGAGAATTTTTGTTTTTTACCCTACATCACTTGCATATGACTGAAAAACTTAGGGGTGCCAACTGAATCTCCCCAATTCCTGCCACTGTGCAGGAATTGGGGAGATTCAACTTTACAATTCAACAATTTAAAAGCATCATGATCTGCACAGCCTTTGTGCTATGGCACACTATGAACATCAAGAGGATAAGAGTTGGTTCAAACAACATTTAAACAGGCCACTTTGTCTATGTCAAGAGATCATCTGCTATAGTTGAAGGAAACTGGAAAGAGAATTTCTTGATAAACAAATATGCAATTACAGTATATAGTGTGCATAAAAGCTAGCCTCTTCCTTTGCTCTGGCAAAGCAAACAATGTCAAGCTGGGAACTGGATGCATGGTACTTGTAAAACCCTGCATTAATGGTATTTCTGGTGAAGCATTATAAGTTAGGCTTTGGGATATCCAATACCCAATAAACAAAGACCATATTAAAAGAAAAGAAATAAAAAAGACTTACATCAGAACAGTTGCTATTCCTCAATGGCAATCCAAGGAGTTTCCAGACAGTTGTTAGGTCAGAAACAAAAGAATCCATCATTTCTGGTGTATGTTGGGGAGTAGGAGCTATACGAAGCTTCTCTTGACCTCTGGGCACCGTTGGGTAATTTATAGCTTGCACATAATGACCATAATTACGAATTAGCTCATCCGATATTTTTGTACACTGTAAAGGGTCTCCCACCTGTAGGAACAAGATTTTATGGTCAGGTGTGTATAAGCTACCCTTTTTTTTAAACATGATGGGCATCTCCACTGAGGGAGAGTGAACCTAATGTAACTTTCTTTGAAAAAATAGAAATCAGAATATACAATACTGTGTCCACAATCAACAAAAACCTACAATGCTGATAAAAGGCATTCACTGCTTATGGCTATTCTGTTAGAATCCTCCAGTCTATTTTTTACTCTGCTATAAATAAGTGGGAAAAAAAATCATCACATAATGGGGAATTGTGGAAGGAATTCCCCAGTCACCTAACCCTGCACCCTATTTCACAATGCTTAGCAAACGGTATCTGTCGTACTCTTCTCTTTTCTTTTTTTTTGTGCATTTCTCATAGTTTTTAGTCCTATAATATTTCATTACCCATTAAGGAGCCAATGATCCCAAGAACAAGAAACATATGTAATAGATAATCTTACTGGAAATATCTAACTAATACCAAGACTGCTACCACTCAAAGAACTTGTTTACAGAATTTAAATAGTCTGTATTTTGACATTCTTTAAGTTATGGAAAAGAAAAGGCAAAAATTAATTTTGTTTACACTGCTGTATATTTTCTTATTAAATTTTTTCATTTAAAAATTATTCTTCAACAATGTTCATAAGTTGCTAATACAGTACAATGCCACATTACTGTTCTTCAACATATGTTTGAATTATCATAGGACTAGAAATGCATACGAGGCAAATATGCAAACTGAATGTACTGTACTTACATGAATAGGGATTATATGGGATGGACAATGTTCAACTGGTAAGCCATTATTCATGAGTGAATCTCGCAGATAACGAACAGCCTTCTGGTGTTTTGCACGCATCATACATCCCTCAGGGCCGCTCAGAATATTAACAGCAGCCAATGCCCCGGAAACAACAGTTGGAGGCAGAGAAGTTGTGAAAATAAACCCAGCAGCATAACTTCTTATCATGTCCACTAGGGACCCACTTCCTGCTATGTAACCACCAATGTTGCCAAAGGCTTTACCTAAAAAATGAAGGTACATACGTATTTTAATTATGGTGCCTATTTCTAACCAGTATGTAATTATTATTAATTTTTTTTTTATTAACACACTGGCCGATTCGCACCAAGGCAGGGTGGCCCGAAAAAGAAAAACTTTCACCATCATTCACTCCATCACTGTCTTGCCAGAAGGGTGCTTTACACTACAGTTTTTAAACTGCAATAGAAATACTGTAATAATTTTGGGTTAAACATTTCCTTTCACTGGTGCTATGTCCTGGAAAGAGTTCATAAATCCAATATAATGTGTTAATTTCTAAAAATGTCATAGAGAAATCAATTAACCACCATAGGTAATTACAATTGGTAATAACCATTTTTAACTTAGCTCATTATGAAATACAGAGCTCATTAATCACTATTAGACTTTTTATTTCCATTCTGTTATCAATATACAATGAAACCAGTGTTGCAGAACTCGTCCTCTTAAAACTTCTCCAAAGCATGGTAGAGAGTTAAGGTAATTTATTCTCGTTTAACAGATGGCCTGTTTACGGTTCCATAACAAGAAATTGTAATAATAACTTGGGATTGCAAAACAAATAACTAAAATTTAAAATCTTTACTAGTAAAGTTTAGCTGAATTTATACTTATATAATGTTAGGACATTGGACATAAAATGAGGAGTCTAACTCCTACACTTCTCTTGGTACATACATTATATATATAACTTCATTAACTATAAAGATCCAGTTCAACCAGCATATTAATATGGATAAATCAACCTTACAAGTTCGGACTTTGTACTATCTTCACCAATTATATCAACCACAAGGTAACCTACAATGGTTACTATGACATATTCAGTTAGCTGAACCATTAATTCACCAGAGTATGCAAGAGCTCGAAAGTGACAGACTTAAGATAGGAAATCGACCACCCCGGAGAGAGAACTCGATACGCCTCCTGCGAGAGGTCAGCGGGTAACTGAGTGAGGTATGTTCCCTTGACTCTATTCAGGACCAGACTGACTTGAGGCCGATAACACAAAGATAGGTAGGATAATTGATTCAAACGTGATGTTAGGGAACTTCAGGAGGATTTAGACAAACTCTATTCTTAGTCAGAAAAGTGGCAGATGCAGTTCAATGTAGATAAATGCAAGGTTCTGAAGCTCGGGAATGTCCATAACCCTAGCACTTATAAGTTAAATAATGCAGAACTTAGCCATACAGATTGCAAAAAGGACTTTGGGGTTATGGTGAGCAGCAACCTTAAACCAAGACAGCAATGCCTAAGCATAAGTAATAAGGCAAATAGATTATTGGGATTTATATCAAGAAGTGTAAGCAACAGAAGTCCAGAGGTTATACTGCAGCTTTATACATCATTAGTAAGGCCTCACCTAGATTATGCAGCTCAGATCTGGTCTCCATATTACAGAATGGACATAAATTCATTAGAAAACATTCAGCATAGAATGGCTAAATTAATACAGAGCATTAGAAATCTTCCTTATGAAGAAAGATTGAAGACTCTTAAATTACATTCACTTGTTAGACGAAGAATGAGGGGAGACATGATCGAAGTGTATAAGTGGAAGATGGGTATTAATAAAGGGGACATTAATAAGGTCTTGAGGATCTCTCTCCAAGAGAGAACCCACAGTAATGGATTAAGTTGGACAAGTTTAGATTTAGAAAGGACATAGGAAAGTGTTGGTTTGGAAATAGGATAGTTGATGAGTGAAACAGTCTACCTAGTTGGGTTATTGAGGCTAAAACCCTGGGTAGTTTCAAATTTAGGTTGGATAAATGCATGAGTGAGAGAGGTAGGATTTGAGCTGGACTTGCATATGGGTGGATAGAGTTATCAGAGCTTTTTTCTTGGGTAGTTTTGAAAATTTGGTTGGGTAAATGTTCTGTTAGTGGGATGGATTGTAAAGGACCTGCCTAGTATGGGCCAACAGGCCTGTTGCAGTGTTCCTCCTTTCTTAAGTTCTTATGTTCTTATAACTGTTCGAGTTGGGAGCTGTTCGAAACTTGAGGTACCACTGTATTTAGGTATGCATACTGGTCAGAGAGCCCGTCATAAGTCCGAGTCATCGGTAAACAAGTACATCGCTAAGCGAGAAGGGGCTGTACTGTATAATTTCCTGGTATCATATATTTCATACTGTACATTTCCTCACCTTCTCTATTATTATTATTTTTTAAACACACGGGCCATCTCCCTCCGAGGTAGCGTGACCCGAAAATGAAGAAAAAAATTTTCTTCTTTTTACATATAGTAATTTATACAGGAGAAAAGGTTTGGGATATTGGCAGTTTGGAGGGATATGTTGTGTATCTTTATATGTGTATGCTTCTAGACTGTTGTATTCTGAGCACCTCTGCAAAAACAGTGATAATGTGCGAGTGTGGTGAAAGTGTTGAATGATGATGAAAGTATTTTCTTTTTGGGGATTTTCTTTCTTTTTTTTGGGTCACCCTGCCTCGGTGGGAGACGGCCGACTTGTTGAAAAAAAAAAAAAAAAAAAAAAAAAAAATTATTATTATTATTATAGGTTAGTGTAGCAGCAACCACCCAGGAGGTACTACCGTCCTGCAAGTGAGTGTAAAACGAAAGCCTGTAATTCTTTTACATGATGGTAGATTGTGGTGTCTTTTGTCTGTCTCATAAATATGCAAGATTACAGGCATGTCTTGCTACTTCTACTTACACTTAGGTCACATACCATAATGTACACGTTTATTTACACACTCATCTGAGTTTTCTTTGATTTTACTTAATAGTTCTTGTCTATTACTTTTCCTTTTATATCATGGGGAAGTGAATAAGAATCTTTCCTCTGTAGCCATGTGTGTTGAAAAGTCAACTAAAATGCGGACAATGGGTAGTATACCCCTTTTCCTGTAAAGATTACTAAAAAGAATAAGAAGAAAATTGTCAAAGTGGGAAGTCTGAATGTGCATGGATGTTGTGCAAATGATAAGAAAGAGATGACTGTGGATGTTATGAATGAGAAGAAACTGGATGTCCTGGCTTTAAGTGAAACAAAGCTGAAGGGGGTGGGAGAGTTTCAATGGAGAGTAATAAATGGGATTAGGTCAGGGGTTTCAAATAGAGTTAGAGCTAAAGAAGGAGTAGCAATAATGTTGAAGGATAAGCTATGGCAGGAAAAGGTGAGTGGTGCGTTGAGGTATATGTGGAGTCAAAAAATGCTATCTATGGAGGCAAAGAAGGGAATGTATGAAAGTATAGTGGTACCAACACTCTTATATGGATGTGAAGCTTGGGTGGTAAATGCAGCAGCGAGGAGACGGTTGGAGGCAGTGGAGATGTCCTGTCTAAGGGCAATGTGTGGTGTAAATATTATGCAGAAAATTCAGAGTGTGGAAATTAGGAGAAGGTGTGGAGTTAATAAAAGCATTAGTCAGAGGGCAGAAGAGGGGTTGTTGAGGTGGTTTGGTCATTTAGAGAGAATGGATCAAAGTAGAATGACATGGAAAGCATATAAATCTATAGGGGAAGGAAGGAGGGGTAGGGGTCGTCCTCGAAAGAGTTGGAGAGAGGGGGGTAAAGGAGGTTTTGTGGGCGAGGGGCTTGGACTTCCAGCAAGCGTGTGTGAGCATGTTAGATAGGAGTGAATGGAGACGAATGATACTTGGGACCTGACGATCTGTTGGGAGTGTGAGCAGGGTAATATTTAGTGAAGGGATTCAGGGAAACCAGTTATTTTCATATAGTCGGACTTGAGTCCTGGAAATGGGAAGTACAATGCCTGCACTTTAAAGGAGGGGTTTGGGATATTGGCAGTTTGGAGGGATATGTTGTGTATCTTTATACGTATATGCTTCTAAACTGTTGTATTCTGAGCACCTCTGCAAAAACAGTGATAATGTGTGAGTGTGGTGATAGTGTTGAATGATGATGAAAGTATTTTCTTTTTGGGGATTTTCTTTCTTTTTTGGGTCACCCTGCCTCGGTGGGAGACGGCTGACTTGTTGAGAAAAAAAAAAAAAATTATTATTATAACATTCAAAGGAAAGCAATAAACCCTTAAAGTTCATACAACATTTGGGAAATGGGAGGAAATCATGTTAGATCAATCAGGTATGCTTACCAGGATGTAATTTATGTACTCATCCTTCACTGTCCCTGCCCTTGTTGAACTCTGCCCACTTATTTTGCACCTTCCAGTCATCTGCATTTTCCAAGCAGGTGAATACTTTATTTTATTTTTATTAATGCATCGGTTCCCACCAAGGCAGGGTGACCCACAAAGAAAAAAACTCATCATTCACTCCATCACTGTCTTGCCAGGGGTGTGCTTACACTACAGTTAAAAAACTGCAACATAAAAACACCCCTCCTTCAGAGTGCAGGCACTGTATTTCCCAACTCCAGGATTCAAGTCAGGCTTCCTGGTTTCCCTGAATCTTTTCATAAATATTACTTTGCTCACACTCTAACAACAGTCAAGTCATAAAAACCATTTGTCTCCACCCACTCCTATCTAACATGCTCATCCACGTTTGTTGGAAGACTAAGGCCCTCGTACACAAAATCTCCTTTACCTCCAACCTTTCCTAAGCTGACCCCTACCCCGCCTTTTTTTCACCGTAGATTTATATACTCTCCAAGTCATTCTATTTCATTCCATCCCCTCTAATGTCCGAACCACCTCAACAACCCCTCCTCAGCCCTCTGGATTATATCTTTAGTAACCCTGCACCTCCTCCTAATTTCCAAACTACAGATTCTCTACATTACATTCACACCATACACTGCCCTCAGATATGACATCTCCACTGATCCCAGCCTTCTCCTTGTTGCAACAGTCATCACCCATGCTTTACACCCATACAAGACTTTGTATGACCAAAATACAACTGATTTCCACTTTTTAACATGTATTATGGTATTATTTCACTCACTTCCAAGGCATTTACTGACTTTACCCTAATTATGAGGAGACAGAGGGATGAGAACATGCCAAAAAAGTATGTAACAAGGTGTCAAAATGCATAAATACAAATATATAATACTGGTATACAAGTCATGATGACATAATGTTAGTTTTTCCTTAAGCAATGCTATGGTAATACTGAACATTAGTTAATGGTTGTATCTTCAAAGAAAAATAAATATTTATGCATAAATTATTACAAAGTACTACATGTCAAGAAAAGTTTTTGGGTAATCCTAATTTTTTTTACCTAGAGTTCCAGAGACAATGTCAATCTTGTAGTGTAAACCATCTCTGTCTGCTATGCCAGCTCCACTCTCACCATAGAGGCCCACTGCATGAACCTCATCAACATATGTTATTGCTCCATACTTGTGAGCCACCTGTTAGAACAAAAATAATTAGCCATAATTTTATTATGCATCAGACTTCTTAATGCATTTACAATGTACTTTCCTTTATTATATATTCTCCCACTGTACAAAATGAAATTTAAAGCTCAGAGCATTCTCTAAAATTTTCTGTACAAGAAAGGTTCTGATTGGTAAATTACTGATAGGTGTAATCCACCTACCAGTAATAATAAAAATAACTGCCTTAGAGGTTATTGGGGTGGTTTGGGAATTTAGAGAATGGAAAGAAAAAAGATGAACAGGGTGTATAAATCTTGGGAAGAAGGTAGGAGGGCTAGGGGGATGGGGTCATCCAAGGAATGGTTTGGGAGGGAGGGAGTAAAGGTTCTGAGTAATAGGGGCCTGAGTGTCCAGTAGGATTGTATAAGCATGTTAGATCGAAGTGGAGACAAGTGGCTTTTAATGGACATGTTGTTGGAGTGTGAGTAAAGTAACATTTATGAAGGGATCCAGGGAAAACTAGTTAGCCAGACTTGAGTCCTAGGGGTGGGAAGGGCAGTGCCTGCACTCTGAAGAAGGGGTGAAGATGGTGCAGTCAGAGGGGGTCATCTGAACTGTGATATCAGCATACTCCTGACAAAACAGTGAATGATGGTGAATGTTTAATTTTTGGGGGTTACCCCTACTTTGGTGGAAGCTGGCTGATGAAAAAAAAAATAGAACCAAACATAATGAAAAGCAACATAGGGTATATAAACATTACATAATCCATGCACTCCCCACCACCCTCATCATACCTACTATCCACTTTTACACAACCCCAACAGCAGACACCCAAAGAAAATTCATCCTCCTGAACAATGACAATGGAGGTAGGCTCCATACATGATTTAAAACTAAATATGACAGAACTGGATGGACAAGTACAATCCCAACAGGCACAGATACAAAGACACTATATCAATATACAGAACAAACTTTTATTGGATCTACTTTTAATCAGAAGTTTATATCACATATAAGGTGAACTATGAGCAAAATTCTCAATAAAGCTTTTTCTGCATACTATGTTTTTATACTTATACATGACCTGAATACCTGAAGAGTGTTTTTTTGGAGCCAACACTCTCTAACAGAGCAGTCCCAGACCAGATCTCTGGTAGATCATGGCCCGATGGACTAAGCTGTTACTTCTAACATCATGCACTCCAGTGTATTAATTACAGCTTGGCTGATTGAGAACCAACTTGAGTAACTTATGGAGTTCCCTCTTGAGACAGCGGGTCTGTTGTAATCCCTTGTTATGATGAAGCTGTGGAAAGTCTTGACCTCTACATATTACGTATTTCAAGTTTACTCAAGCATCATGATTTTCACTGTGGGTGCTTGCACCATCTGCAAACCTCTTCTTTCATAGGAAATAATTTCTGTGTGAAGATTTAGAAACAATCCCTCTAGGATTTTCCAGAATACTGATCCCACATCTGCATACAGAAATCACTCTTCACAAAAAAAGAGGCTCAGCAGACATGTCGTCAACTAAAGTCCAAAGATAACAAGAAAGTAATCATCCCAAAACTTAACCCTTTGACTGTTTTCGACGTATAAATACTCTTACGAGCCAATGTTTCGACGTATATATACTCATAATTTAGCGGTTATCAAGTGGAGAAAGCTGGTAGGCCACATGTGAGGAAGGGTCTGTGTGGTCAGTGTGCACACATAAAAAACCTGCAGCAACATGCGTATGAGAAAAAAAACTGATCGTTTTTTTGGAATAAAACGCCAACTTGAGTTATTTTCGTTAGTATTATCGTTGTATCTCCTTCATGGTCTTAGGTGATAAATGGAACATTTACAAAAAGAGAGATTTTCATTACTCATGAACCGATGAAATAGCTCAAAGTAGCGAAAATGTTCGATTTTTACCATGTCAAGAGTAATAAACACCACACGTCCATACACTCAACTAGGGAGTCTAATATTCTTTACTTAGTGCCTGATATTATATTAACCATTTTTACATAATGCATTTCGTCTGATAACAGTAAATTTGTATTTTTGTATGAATAAAAATAAATAGAAAGCAATAAAATATAAGAGGCCTAGAGATGTGACTAATGAACAGAGCCAATGTTTTTAGTGCACGAATGTCCCCTTGTTTATTCTGGACCCTATTTTGAAATTTGGACATCTTTTTTATTTTGCGTAAATTGCAATTGCATTCGACACCTATTGGGTGTTCCAAATAGTAATGGGGTGCTTGTACTCGCGATAGATAAATGGATTCTAAAGAAATAGCTTGTTTGGTCAACTGGAACATGGAATTGGCTGAAAATTGGGCTCAAAGTCGGTCGAAATCCCCCGATACGCATATGTCGCGAAGACGACGCAACTTTGCGGGACCATAATTCCCACTTTTCGACAAATTTAAAAATTTGGGTCTACCATCGGGAAAGATTCTTATCATTCATAAGAAAAAATATTTTTTTTTTTCAAAATTGAGCGACATAGAATGACAGTTTCAGAGAGGGGCCTGAAACAGTCAAAGGGTTAAATATGTAACTACAATCAATATATGCACTGAAAGACTCAATTAATTTTCCACTGTAAATGATGATGTATTATATACAACTTTTTTTTTTTTTTTTTTTCAACAAGTCGGCCATCTCCCACCGAGGCAGGGTGACCCAAAAAAGAAAGAAAATCCCCAAAAAGAAAATACTTTCATCATCATTCAACACTTTCACCACACTCACACATTATCACTGTTTTTGCAGAGGTGCTCAGAATACAACAGTTTAGAAGCATACACATATAAAGATACACAACATATCCCTCCAAACTGCCAATATCCCAAACCCCTCCTTTAAAGTGCAGGCATTGTACTTCCCATTTCCAGGACTCAAGTCCGACTATATGAAAATAACCGGTTTCCCTGAATCCCTTCACTAAATAATACCCTGCTCACACTCCAACAGATCGTCAGGTCCCAAGTACCATTCGTCTCCATTCACTCCTATCTAATACGCTCACGCACGCTTGCTGGAAGTCCAAGCCCCTTGCCCACAAAACCTCCTTTACCCCCTCTCTCCAACCCTTTCGAGGACGACCCCTACCCCTCCTTCCTTCCCCTATAGATTTATATGCTTTCCATGTCATTCTACTTTGATCCATTCTCTCTAAATGACCAAACCACCTCAACAACCCCTCTTCTGCCCTCTGACTAATACTTTTATTAACTCCACACCTTTTCCTAATTTCCACACCCCAAATTTTCTGCATAATATTTACACCACACATTGCCCTTAAACAGGACATCTCCACTGCCTCCAACCGTCTCCTCGCTGCTGCATTTACCACCCAAGCTTCACACCCATATAAGAGTGTTGGTACTACTATACTTTCATACATTCCCTTCTTTGCCTCCATAGATAATGTTTTTTGACTCCACTCACCTTTTTTCCCTCATCAATTCTATGATTAACCTCATCCTTCATAAATCCATCCGCCGACACGTCAACTCCCAAGTATCTGAAAACATTCACTTCTTCCATACTCCTCCTCCCCAATTTGATATCCAATTTTTCTTTATCTAAATCATTTGATACCCTCATTACCTTACTCTTTTCTATGTTCACTATGTACAACTAGTGTGGAAAAAAATAGATTTGTTTAGTATTACATCAGATTAATTCTTAAAATTTCCATAGTGCAGTAATTTAGGAAGTTGGTCTATTGTATAATACAAACTTCATTTTGTTTTAATCAAGAAATCATAACCAGACAATTTATAAAAAAAAAAATAGACATAACTAATATAGTAAAAGAGAGATGTTGAAATGACTTACATCACATAACTCATTTAATGGGCACACAGCTCCTGTCATGGAATGAACAGTTTCAAAGGCCACGATCTTTGGAATAGATACATCAACTGATTTCAGTTGTTCTTCGAGGTGTTTTGGATCATTATGAGAGAAAATGTGCTTTGGGACACCAGAGTTACGAATTCCCTGAATCATCGAGGCATGATTTCCTTCATCTGAGAAGATGTGGCAACCTGAAACAGCCAATTTATAAAGTTTAAGGTGACAAATAAATAAATGGGAATTTCTGTTTAAGAATGACCTCACTATTTAACAATGCCAACACTTAAACAGGTTAAGACACTCAGATACTTAGAATGGTATATACAAAATGAGACAATGTAAATTAGAGATATACAGTGGACCCCCGCATAACGATCACCTCCGAATGCGACCAATTATGTAAGTGTATTTATGTAAGTGCGTTTGTACGTGTATGTTTGGGGGTCTGAAATGGACTAATCTACTTCACAATATTCCTTATGGGAACAAATTCGGTCAGTACTGGCACCTGAACATACTTCTGGAGTGAAAAAATATCGTTAACCAGGGGTCCACTGTATATGATAAATATGCACTATGCTTATATTATACATGGTGTTTATATTCAACTACTGTAATTAAAATTTACTTTATTTAATATTATAAAGAAAATTCTTCTTTATTCTAACAATTTGATAAATAAATCAAAACTTCTTATCATTCACACTTAAAATTATATATCAAGTATTAATTCTGCCAAGTTGCTCCTGTACATCCACTGTATTTCATTTTATGCAGATTTTCTTACCTGGTAAAGCCTTAGCTAAAGTATATAGTGTAGAGTCATTAGCAACATAGCAAGAAGTAAAGAGCAAAGCTGCATCCTTCTGATGGATTGATGCTAACTTGGCTTCTAAAGTCTCATGAAGTACAGTGTTGCCAGAAATGTTCCTGGTACCACCAGCTCCTGCACCGTGCTTATCTAAGGATGTGCGCACTGCAGCACGCACACCTTCATGTCGTGACATTCCTGTCAAATCATATAGTTGATATTAGCAAGAGCAATATACTCACTCCAAACAACTGACAAATATTAATAGTTTTTTCAACAAACCGGCCATATCCCACCGAGGCAGGGTGACCTTAAAAAAAAAAAAAGTTTCTCTTTTTAAAATTAGTAATGTATACAGGAGAAGGGGTTGCTAGCCCTTTGCTTCCGGCATTTTAGTCGCCTATTATGACACACATGGCTTACAGAGGAAGAATTCTGTTCCACTTCCCAATGGAGAAAATATTAATATACATGTATAACCTTCTCCTGTAGACATTTACTAAAAAAGAGAAGAAGAAAAACTTTATAAAACTGGGATGCTTAAATGTGCGTGGATGTAGTGCGGATGACAAGAAACAGATGATTGCTGATGTTATGAATGAAAAGAAGTTGGACGTCCTGGCCCTAAGTGAAACAAAGCTGAAGGGGGTAGGGGAGTTTCGGTGGGGGGAAATAAATGGGATTAAATCTGGAGTATCTGAGAGAGTTAGAGGAAACGAAGGGGTAGCAGTAATGTTGAATGATCAGTTATGGAAGGAGAAAAGAGAATATGAATGTGTAAATGCAAGAATTATGTGGATTAAAGTAAAGGTTGGATGCGAGAAGTGGGTCATAATAAGCGTGTATGCATCTGGAGAAGAGAGGAATGCAGAGGAGAGAGAGAGATTTTGGGAGATGTTAAGTGAATGTATAGGAGCCTTTGAACCAAGTGAGAGAGTAATTGTGGTAGGGGACCTGAATGCTAAAGTAGGAGAAACTTTTAGAGAGGGTGTGGTAGGTAAGTTTGGGGTGCCAGGTGTAAATGATAATGGGAGCCCTTTGATTGAACTTTGTATAGAAAGGGGTTTAGTTATAGGTAATACATATTTTAAGAAAAAGAGGATAAATAAGTATACAAGATATGATGTAGGGCGAAATGACAGTAGTTTGTTGGATTATGTATTGGTAGATAAAAGACTGTTGAGTAGACTTCAGCATGTACATGTTTATAGAGGGACCACAGATATTTCAGATCACTTTCTAGTTGTAGCTACACTGAGAGTAAAAGGTAGATGGGATACAAGGAGAATAGAAGCATCAGGGAAGAGAGAGGTGAAGGTTTATAAACTAAAAGAGGAGGCAGTTAGGGTAAGATATAAACAGCTATTGGAGGATAGATGGGCTAATGAGAGCATAGGCAATGGGGTCGAAGAGATATGGGGTAGGTTTAAAAATGTAGTGTTAAGAGTGTTCAGCAGAAGTTTGTGGTTACAGGAAAGTGGGTGCAGGAGGGAAGAGGACCGATTGGTGGAATGATGATGTGAAGAGAGTAGTAAGGGAGAAAAAGTTAGCATATGAGAAGTTTTTACAAAGTAGAAGTGATGGAAGGAGGGAAGAGTATATGGAGAAAAAGAGAGAGGTGAAGCAATGTAAAAAGAGAGCAAATGAGAGAGTGGGTGAGATGTTATCAACAAATTTTGTGAAAATAAGAAAAAGTTTTGGAGTGAGATTAACAAGTTAAGAAAGCCTAGAGAACAAATGGATTTGTCAGTTAAAAATAGGAGAGGAGAGTTATTAAATGGAGAGTTAGAGGTATTGGGAAGATGAGGGAATATTTTGAGGAATTGTTAAATGTTGATGAAGATAGGGAAGCTGTGATTTCGTGTATAGGGCAAGGAGGAACAACATCTTGTAGGAGTGAGGAAGAGCCAGTTGTGAGTGTGGGGGAAGTTCGTGAGGCAGTAGGTAAAATGAAAGGGGGTAAGGCAGCCGGGATTGATGGGATAAAGATAGAAATGTTAAAAGCTGGTGGGGATATAGTTTTGGAGTGGTTGGTGCAATTATTTAATAAATGTATGGAAGAGGGTAAGGTACCTAGGGATTGGCAGAGAGCATGCATAGTTCCTTTGTATAAAGGCAAACGGGATAAAAGAGAGTGCAAAAATTATAGGGGGATAAATCTGTTGAGTTATAGGTAGTAGGTTGGTAGACAGCAACTGCCCAGGGAGGTACTACCGTCCTGCCAAGTGAGTGTAAAACGAAAGCCTGTAATTGTTTTACATGATGGTAGGATTGCTGGTGTCCTTTTTTCTGTCTCATGAACATGCAAGATTTCAGGTACGTCTTGCTACTTCTACTTACACTTAGGTCACACTACACATACATGTACAAGCACATATATACACACCCCTCTGGGTTTTCTTCTATTTTCTTTCTAGTTCTTATTCTTGTTTATTTCCTCTTATCTCCATGGGGAAGTGGAACAGAATTCTTCCTCCGTAAGCCATGCATGTTGTAAGAGGCGACTAAAATGCCGGGAGCAAGGGGCTAGTAACCTCTTCTCCTGTATATATTACTAAATGTAAAAGGAGAAACTTTCGTTTTTCCTTTTGGGCCACCCCGCCTCGGTGGGATACGGCCGGTGTGTTGAAAGAAAGAAAGAAAGTCTGTTGAGTATACCTGGCAAAGCGTATGGTAGAGTTATTATTGAAAGAATTAAGAGTAAGATGGAGAATAGGATAGCAGATGAACAAGGAGGCTTTAGGAAAGGTAGGGGGTGTGTGGACCAGGTGTTTACAGTGAAACATATAAGTGAACAGTATTTAGATAAGTCTAAAGAGGTCTTTGTGGCATTTATGGATTTGGAAAAGGCGTATGACAGGGTGGATAGGGGGCAATGTGGCAGATGTTGCAGGTGTATGGTGTAGGAGGTAGGTTACTGAAAGCAGTGAAGAGTTTTTACGAGGATAGTGAAGGTCAAGTTAGAGTATGTAGGAAAGAGGGAAATTATTTCTCAGTAAAAGTAGGCTTAGACAAGGATGCGTGATGTCACGTGGTTGTTTAATATATTTATAGATGGGGTTGTAAGAGAATTAAATGCGAGGGGTCTTGGCAGAGGCGTGGGAGTTAAAAGATAAAGAATCACACATAAAGTGGGAGTTGTCACAGTTGCTCTTTGCTGATGACACTGCTCTTGGGAGATTCTGAAGAGAAGTTGCAGAGATTGGTGGATGAATTTGGTAGGGTGTGCAAAAGAAGAAATTGAAAGTGAATACAGGAAAGAGTAAGGTTATGAGAATAACAAAAGATTAGGTGATGAAAGATTGGATATCAGATTGGAGGGAGAGAGTATGGAGGAGGTGAATGTATTCAGATATTTGGGAGTGGACATGTCAGCGGATGGGTCTATGAAAGATGAGGTGAATCATAGAATTGATGAGGGGAAAGGGTGAGTGGTGCACTTAGGAGTCTGTGGAGACAAAGAACTTTGTCCTTGGAGGCAAAGAGGGGAATGTATGAGAGTATAGTTTTTACCAACGCTCTTATATGGGTGTGAAGCATGGGTGATGAATGTTGCAGCGAGGAGAAGGCTGGAGGCAGTGGAGATGTCATGTCTGAGAGCAATGTGTGGTGTGAATATAATGCAGAGAATTCGTAGTTTGGAAGTTAGGAGGAGGTGCGGGATTACCAAAACTGTTGTCCAGAGGGCTGAGGAAGGGTTGTTGAGGTGGTTCGGACATGTGGAGAGAATGGAGCGAAACAGAATAACTTCAAGAGTGTATCAGTCTGTAGTGGAAGGAAGGCGGGGTAGGGGTCGGCCTAGGAAAGGTTGGAGGGAGGGGGTAAAGGAGGTTTTGTGTGCGAGGGGCTTGGACTTCCAGCAGGCATGCGTGAGCGTGTTTGATAGGAGTGAATGGAGACAAATGGTTTTTAATACTTGACGTGCTGTTGGAGTGTGAGCAAAGTAACATTTATGAAGGGGTTCAGGGAAACCGGCAGGCCGGACTTGAGTCCTGGAGATGGGAAGTACAGTGCCTGCACTCTGAAGGAGGGGTGTTAATGTTGCAATTTAAAAACTGTAGTGTAAAAACCCTTCTGGCAAGACAGTGATGGAGTGAATGATGGTGAAAGTTTTTCTTTTTCGGGCCACCCTGCCTTGGTGGGAATCGGCCAGTGTGATGATAAAAAAAAATAAATAACATGTATAACCCAAAAATTAATGATTAGTACTACTTTAAAGTAGAGATATTTGAACTTTAATATGATACTTTCATTTCCCAGCAACTAAAAGACATGGATTTTGTAAAGAAACTTTGCTTAAACTTAAGTTAGCTTACCTAAATAATCATTGGAACACCATACAGTGATCTCTCTCTCTCCCCATGAATACTCCTTGGCTTTTGGAAAGTGGTCAGCGATTCGAGCAACCTTCTTGAACACGCGGTAGGAATGGTCAGCTTTTTTCTGGGCAATTTGCTCCTTAAAAAATTCGTTGTATGGAAATGAATTCAACTCTGTTAAAGTAATATGAGAAAATTGTATTAAGTAACATAAATAACCTATTTACTGTATACAATGTCTACCAATTGCTTACAATAGTGCAAGAATGACTGTCGATCACTTTTACAAGATTAAAAGTATTTTATAAAAATCACTATATTCAATATATGGCCAAAATATTGGTAAAATACTTTTTTTTTTTTTGCCCTAACAGGAAAATTTGCCAATGAATGAACATTTCTTCAAGAATTTAATGATGTGAAGGACATTTCAAGATTTTAAAATTGTGAAAAGGCTTTTCATTTAATGGGCTTATGTAACAATTTATGTAATTTACACTGTCATAATTTCCCCTAATGCCACAGTAAACCAATAAATTGTAATACAATACCCAATTAGTTAGAAAAATGAAAATAAAATAAAGTACAGTATTATCATGCTCATACTCCAACAGCACATCAAGTCCCAGATCATTTGCCTCCAATTACTCTAATTTATCATCTAGTATGTTCAAATAATACCTCTTCGATCAGAGTGCTTGGAAGACAATGGTCTATTGTAATTTGATGTAATGTTGGAGCACAGGCATGGTAATATCTATGGATCTGGGAAAATCAGTTAGATAAAATTTTCTACTTATGCTATAACAGTACTCATACAGTACACCATTTGAAAAAAAATAAGATAAAAAAGAAAAAACTCAATAAAACACACAAAAAAGCTTAGATATAATAATACTAATAGAATGTAACTTCTGTCATGCTACTTGCTCTTTACATTCTGCAAGAAACTTCCAAGAAATCAAACGTAGTGAGAAAGCAGCAAGAAGAATGTGGATAACTATACGCAAGTCAGTCAGGCCTAGCTGGGTTATTTTTCACAAATACATGCTTTAGGTTATGCATATAGGTTCTTTAGCTTGGGCAAATACAGGACAAAACATGAAACTTTGGAACTAAGGTGGTGCTCTTACAAAATGCTAAGTTATTTAGCTCTCAAAATCTACATGAAAGCATACCTTTAGCTTTCTTATCAGGGACTGCCTGAGAAGCTAAAAAGGGGCATTTGGCCGTATCTTTGGGTTTGACTTCAAGTCCAGCAGGGCCTGTGAAAGGCCAAGTCGTGTAAATACACTGATGCAAAACAGCTGAATAATAGTTATGTTTGAAGAATGATTTTTTTCTAATACAGTATACCTGAACAATTCCTATTAATATTTTCATCAATATGAAATAACCCACTAAAGACGTACAGCTTCAAAAAAATGAACTGTACTGTACTACAAGTCATTATCACTGAGTAAATGGCTAACATTTATTTAAACAATTTAATTATGGCAGAGAAAATCTACACCAAACTAACTTGAATGGTATGCCTTTATTTATTTACCTTGCTCTCTAGCAGAAAGATCAATGACATCCTCTTGTACTTCTCGGCTAGCTTGCTTCACCAGATTCTTGCCATTCAAAAAGGGGCAGGTCTTCTCTCCTTCTGCTAAAAAAACATTGTCAGATCAAAAAGCCTTTAGAATAAAACTGTAATTTTGAAATTATTTTCAGGATACAATAACTATAAAGATCATTACATCAAAGGCAAAACACTTCACACTAAACAAAATCAAAGTAATAAATAGAAGCAACTATATGTATTAAGTGATTAGGAATTCTTATCACTATTAAGTTTATTATAGCTATTAATCCAAGCTTACTTTGTACATGCACACATGCTAGGATGTGTTTGAGAGATTTCTTGATTGTCAGTGCCTGTTCATGAGTACATACTTTACAAATTTGAGTAACAAATTTTTTGGCTTCAGAAATAGTAGCACAGTGGAGGCTCGGTTATCGGTCGTTCCGGATATCGGCCAATTCGGTTTTTGTCCGCTTTTTTGGCTGAAATTCTAGCCTGGTTATCGGCCGTTATTTTGGAGATTGGCCATATTGGACGCGTCTAACAACCGTTCCACCGTGTTCACGAGTCAGTCTGGCTGTGTCTCTGGGTGAGTGAGGAAACCTCCGCACATTCATCCAAAGATTTCACTATAATCCATTATTTTTTGTGGTTATTGATTGAGTGCAACTGCAAAATAAGCCACCATGGGCCCAAAGAAAGTTCCTAGTAAAGCTCCTTTGGTAAAGAAATTGAGAAACACGATGGAATTTAAGAAAAAATTGTTGAAAAGTATGAGAGTGGTGTACGTGTGCTTGAGCTTGCCAAGATATACAGGAAATCCAAATCAATAATCACTTCCATCCTGGCAAAGAAAGTAGAAATCAAGGAAGCTAATGTTGCAAAACGGGTAAATGTGCTAACGAAACAAAGGTCACCAATAATCGAAGATGTGGAGAAGTTATTGTTGGTGTGGATCAATGAAAAACAATTAGCGGGAGACAGTGTTGTGGAGTCGATCATTTGTGAAGAGGCATGGCAGTTGCATGACGATCTCGTAAAGAAAATGCCTGGAATGAGTGCTGTTAGTGAATTTAGGGCCAGCAAAGGCTGGTTTGAGAGAGTTAAAAAGCGTAGTGGCATACACAGTGTTGTAAGGCATGGCGAGGCTGCAAGCTTTGACAAATGTGCGGCCACAGCATTTGTTGATGAATTCAAGGGGTACGTAGAGGCTAAAGGATTCCTCCCCCAACAAGTGTTCAATTGTGATGAAACAGGCCTCTTCTGGAAGAAAATGCCAAAGAGGACCTACAACATGCAGGAGGAAAAGGCACTGCCAGGACACAAGCCTATGAAAGACAGGCTTACTCTTTTGTTTTGTGGAAATGCTAGTGGGGATTTCAAAATGAAGCCTTTACTGGTGTATCACTGAAAATCCCAGAGTGTTCAAGAAAAACAATGCCGTCAAGAGTAAATTGTGCGTGTTGTGGAAAGCTAATAATAAGGCATGGGTCACAGGGCACATTTTCATTGACTGGGTCCATGAAGTGTTTGGCCCAAGTGTGAAAAAATACCTTCAGGAAAATAAATTGCCATTCAAGTGTCTCCTGGTACCGGACAATGCTCCTGCTCACCCTCCAAACTTGGTAGACCAATTGTCTCTGGAGTTAAGTTTTATAACAGTGAAGTTCATGCCTCCAAACACCACTCCTCTCATCCAGCCCATGGACCAGCAGGTCATTTCTAACTTCAAAAAACTCTACATGAAAGCAGTGACCTCAGACATTGACTTGACCCTAAGAGATTTCTGGAGGAATCACTTCAATATCCTCCACTGCATATGGCTTGGCAGGGAGTGACTTCCAGGACTCTGAACTCTGCCTGGAGAAAATTGTGGCCAGAATGTGTCCTCGACAAGGATTTTCAAGGGTTTGAGGCTGACCCTGATGACCCTACGCCTGTTGTGGAATCTACTGTGTCTTTGGGGAAGTCCAAGGGGTTGGAGGTGAGTGGCGAGGATGTGGAAGAATTGGTGGAGGACCACAGGGAAAAGCTAACCACCGAAGAGCTGCACGACCTTCATCTGGAACAGTAACAGACTGCAGTTGAGGAAATTGGTTCAGAGGAGGAGGAAGAGAGAGGGGAGAATATGCCTTCTTCAGTGATTAAGGACATTTGTGCAAAGTGGAGGGAGGTGCAAACTTTTGTTGAAAAATATCACCTCGACCAAGCTCAAACAAGCCATATCTGCAATATGTTCAGTGACAAAACCTTGTCCCACTTCAGGCATATCTTAAAGAGACGCCAGAAACAGAGCTCTCTGGACAGTTTTACTGTGCGACAGGGGTGCAGTGACTCTCAAGCTCATCCTAGTGGCAGTAAAAGACAAAGAAGGGACGTAATCCTAGAGAGGGCTTTGATACCTTTAGTCCTTATGGAGGGGGATTTCCCTTTCAAACAATACTCAGTCCTCCCTCTCTCCTCCTCCCTGTCTTCCATAAGCCAACAAGAGTCTTCATTGAAGGTATGTAACAGTGATTTAAATGTTCATTTATTTATTTTATTTAGTTCTCATTGTTTTGTGTATGTAAAACTAGAGTTAATCTTTAAAAAATGTATTTTTTGTTAATATTTTTGGGTGTCTGGAACGGATTAATTGTATTTACATTAATTCTTATGGAAAATATTATTTCTGTTTTCAGCTATTTCGGATTTAGGCCAACCTTCTGGAACGGATTATGGCCGATAACCGAGGGTCCACTGCATCAACCCACCTACATGGGTACTACAAACTAGTAGTTACCAAAGATTTCCTTCACTTTGATCAAGGAATTCTGGACCACAGACATTCAGGTCACTTACAAACAATTTAAAACACCCCCTGATCTTCCTTTGATGATTTTAGTAGTGTATACACATGCATACATTTGTTGGCTTTCTGTACAAGACAATGGTGAAATTATCCATTATCTGATTTAATGAGTACAGCCTCTCCTCACTTAGTGACGTACTCGTTTACCGATGCCTCGGACTTATGACGGACTCTGATCAGTATTCATACCTAAATAATGTATACCTAAATAATGTAGAGCTGATTTCCTCTATTCTGTTTACTTCAATATACAGTACACTACTGTATAACATTTAAAAATACATGTATACCAGAAATGTTATAAATGGTGCAAAGGTGACATTAAAACAATATCAAAGATGGTTGACACAAACTCACTACCATTATAGAATGCCCCTCACTTAGCGACGTTAACAACATGGTCTCAGGAACAGAACGCCATCGTTAAGTGAAGAGAGGCTGTAATTTCTGATGAATACATACAGAATACAGGGATAGGTTAATTACTGTCAATCACCATCTTAAATGTTAGCAGATATAAAAAAAATGTGCAAAATTGGTCATATCATTAAGTGTTAAAAGTCAAATACTGAAATGTCAAGAATAAGGATAAGATAGGAAAATAAGATTTGTTGGGATTTTTAACCAGGAGGGTTAGCCACCCAGGATAACCAAGAAAGTCAATGCGTCATCGAGGACTGTCTTATTTCCACTGTGGTCCCTCGATCTTGTCCCTCAGGATGCATCCCACACCAGTCGACTAACCTTCAGGTACCTACCTACTGCTAGATGAACAAGGATAGCAGGTGTTAGGAAACAATCCAAAACATGCCCAATGTTTCCACCCACCCTGGGGACTGAATTATGGACACTCAGTGTGTGAAGCACGTGTGTTCCCAACTGAGCCACAGCTGGCATTATGAAAGCTATAAAGTGTTTGGTTTTAAACAGATTTAGAATTAAATGTGAGAGGCATTTAGAGGAGGGAGGACAGCACTAACCGGGGTCCTTGTTGGAGGAGAGGGTGTTGAAGGATCTGGAGCGGCCCATAGAGCTCATTACAGGGCACATCTCCCCATACTGTCGCACCAGGGAGGAGCTGTAGTGACGCACAAATTGTGTTGACAGGCGCGACATGAATGGACAAGGCATTTTTTTCACCACCTGTAACACAATAACATGTTTTTGCAAAAAAGTCAATTTCCTGTAGCAATATCATTAGGGTTACACTCCAACCTTTACTAACACTACAACTCTTCCAATTTGCACAAAGGCCTTAGTGCCAAAGTGCCTTAGCCAAGATCATCAGAGTTAAAAAAAAAAATCAGCTATTATTGAATTTTGGGTGAGGTGAGGAGGGGAAGTGGGCAAGGTGAGGGGGAAGTGGATGAGGTGAGGAGGGGAAGTGGGTGAGGCGAGGAGGGGAAGTGGGTGAGGTGAGGAGGGGAATTGGGTGAGGCGATGAGGGGAAGAGGGTGAGGTGAGGAGAAGTGGGTGAGGTGAGGAGGGGAAGTGGATGAGCAAGGAGGGGAAGTGGATGAGGCAAGGAGGTGAAGTGGATGAGGCGAGGAGGGGAAGTAGGGTGGGGCGAGGAGGGAAGTGGGTGAGGCGAGGAGAAGTGGATGAGATGAGGAGGGGAAGTGGATGAGGTGAGGAGGGGAAGTGGATGAGGTGAGGAGGGGAAGTGGATAAGGCAAGGAGAGGAAGTTCATGAGGTGAAGAAGGGAAGTGGAGGACGGGATGAGTGTGAGAGGAAAGCGGGGAATTACCAGGGATATGCCTGCATCCAGTTCAAGTTTTCCTACTCAGGTAGGACGTCAGACCTGAAGCCAGGTTTCCCTGGTGACAGCCTAATTAATCAGGCTTTGCTACTTTGCCTAGGTTTCTCTTGCTAGTGCTACCTTGCCTAGCTTTCTCTTGCTAGTGCTACCTTGCCTAGCTTTCTCTTGCTAGTGTTAATGTGCCTAGCTTTCTCTTGCTAGTGCTACCTTGCTTAGCTTTCTCTTGCTAGTGCTACCTTGCCTAGCTTTCTCTTGCTAGTGCTACCTTGCCTAGCTTTCTCTTGCTAGTGCTGCCTTGCCTAGCTTTCTCTTGCTAGTGCTACCTTGCCTAGCTTTCTCTTGCTAGTGCTACCTTGCCTAGTTGTCTCTTGCTAGTGCTATCTTGCTTAGCTTTCTCTTACTGGTGCTACATTGCCTAGCTTTCTCCTGCTAGTGCTACATTGCCTAGCTTTCTCTTGCTAGTGCTGCCTTGCCTAGCTTTCTCTTGCTAGTGCTACCTTGCCTAGCTTTCTCTTGCTAGTGCTACCTTGTCTAGCTTTCTCTTGCTAGTGCTGCCTTGCCTAGCTTTCTCTTGCTAGTGCTACCTTGCCTAGCTTTCTCTTGCTAGTGCTGCCTTGCCTAGCTTTCTCTTGCTAGTGCTACCTTGCCTAGCTTTCTCTTGCTAGTGCTACCTTGCCTAGCTTTCTCTTGCTAGTGCTATCTTGCTTAGCTTTCTCTTGCTGGTGCTACATTGCCTAGCTTTCTCCTGCTAGTGCTACATTGCCTAGCTTTCTCTTGCTAGTGCTGCCTTGCCTAGCTTTCTCTTGCTAGTGCTACCTTGCCTAGCTTTCTCTTGCTAGTGCTACCTTGTCTAGCTTTCTCTTGCTAGTGCTGCCTTGCCTAGCTTTCTCTTGCTAGTGCTACCTTGCCTAGCTTTCTCTTGCTAGTGCTGCCTTGCCTAGCTTTCTCTTGCTAGTGCTGCCTTGCCTAGCTTTCTCTTGCTAGTGCTGCCTTGCCTAGCTTTCTCTTGCTAGTGCTACCTTGCCTAGCTTTCTCTTGCTAGTGCTGCCTTGCCTAGCTTTCTCTTGCTAGTGCTACCTTGCATAGCTTTCTCTTGCTAGTGCTGCCTTGCCTAGCTTTCTCTTGTTAGTGCTGCCTTGCCTAGCTTTCTCTTGCTAGTGCTGCCTTGCCTAGCTTTCTCTTGCTAGTGCTGCCTTGCCTAGCTTTCTCTTGTTAGTGCTGCCTTGCCTAGCTTTCTCTTGCTAGTGCTGCCTTGCCTAGCTTTCTCTTGCTAGTGCTGCCTTGCCTAGCTTTCTCTTGCTAGTGCTGCCTTGCCTAGCTTTCTCTTGCTAGTGCTACCTTGTCTAGCTTTCTCTTGCTAGTGCTGCCTTGCCTAGCTTTCTCTTGCAAGTGCTGCCTTGCCTAGCTTTCTCTTGCTAGTGCTACCTTGCCTAGTTTTCTCTTGTTAGTGCTATCTTGCCTAGTTTTCTCTTGCTAGTGCTACCTTGCCTAGGTTTCTCTTAGACTTCTACATTAGTTCCAGGAATATTTATATCTGCTGGTAGGTTTCAAGAGTCAGACTACGAGTACCGACATCAATACAAAATTTTTATGAAGAAGCATACCGGTAATTATCTTACAGAACCCAAACGTTTCATGGACTTTATTCTTCACTTCTCGTATTGAATCTTACATCCAATTATTATTATTATTATTATATGGAAGCGCTACACCTGTAGGGTAACTGCGCCTATGGAATGGGAGATAATCAAATTCGATCTGACGTTGAAAGTCTAATTTAATGAATCAAGAGCCCATTACCTGCATCAAGGCACTTCTCAAGAGGGAAAGGAAGGTGTGCTGATCCTGAAACTGACCTTCAAGTATCGATGACGTATTGATTATGAGACGGGTCCGTGTAGCTTATCGAGTTTAATAATTACTTGCCAGCAGCACTTGATATTTTTAGTTCTTACATCTCACGTGCTTTTAAGGAGATGAAAGTCCGCGAAAGTAATGAAAACGATAACAGAAGTGATTTGGAGATTATTATTATTATTATAATCAAGGGGAAGCGCTAAACCCGGAGGATTATACAGCGCCTGGGGGGGGGATGTGGAAGGCATTCAGGCTTAATTCGGGGAACTGGAGCACAGATCCAATTCCCTAAATCAAAAGCCCCTCACCAACATCAAGGAACCTTCCTTGAAGAACACTGTCAATAATGATACATTTTGGTTGAGGAGTACTATCAATAATGATACCTCTTACCTGGAGAGGTCTGAGACCAGGCCTCATGGTGGATCAGGGTCTGATCAACTAGGCTGTTGCTGCCGGCCGCACGCAAGCTGACGTACGAACCCCAGCCCGGTTGGTCTGGTACTAACTTTAGGTGCCTGTCCAGTGCCTTCTTGAAGACAGCCAGGGGTCTATTGGTAATCCCCCTTATGTATGCTGGGAGGCAGTGAACAGTCGGGGGCCCCGGACACTTATTGTGTTCTCTCTCAACGTGCTCGTGGCGCCCCTGCTCTTCATCGGGGGAATGTTGCATCTCCTGCCGAGTCTTTTGCTTTCATAGGGTGTGATTTTCGTGTGCAGGTTTGATGTCAATCCCTACAGGATCTTCCAAGTGTATATTATCATGTATCTCTCTCGCCTGCATTCCAAGGAATACAGATCAAGGACCTTTAACCGTTCCCAGTAGTTTAGGTGCCTTATCGTACTTGTGTGTGTCGTGAAGTTCTTTGTACACACTCCAGGTCTGTAATGTCGCCAGCCTTGAAGGGGGCCGTTAGTGTACAGCAGTATTCCACCCTAGAGGGCACAAGCGATTTGAAGAGAATCATCATGGTCTTGGCATCCCTAGTTTTGAAGGTTTTCATTATCCATCCTATCATTTTTCCAAGCGGATGAGGTAGATACATGGTTGTGGTCTTTGAAGGCGAGATCCTTTGATATTATCACTCCCAGGTCCTTCACATTACTTTTCTGCTCTATTGTATGGTTAGAATTTGTTGTATACCCTTATACATTTTTAATTTCATCAAGTTTCCCATATCTGAATAGTTGAAATTTCTCCTCGTTGAACTTCATATTGTTTAGGTTGAAGAGTTATCATGGGAAGCGCTAAACCCGTGGGGTTGAAGCGTACTATCATTGTTATTATAATAAAAAAGAAGCGCTAAACCACAAGGGCTGTACTATCAATGATACCTCTTGCATAGAGTACCATCAATAATGTGACACCTCTTGATTAAAAATAATCAACTGTACCATCACTGATGTTTTAAGATATTATTATCAATCAATAATTGACACCGCTGATTACACAAATATAAGTACGACTGGCATCGTGATTTTAAGAGAAGCAATAACTTTCAGTCCAGGATACTACTTGGACCCCGGAGATCTTATCACTGTATTTTTTTTTATATTATGCAGCAACATGGCAATTCGTGAGATACCTTTTAATCAACACTTGAAACCTTCCAGTAGCAACTGAATTAGTCTCGCACCTTGGCATTCTTCCAGGAATATGACTTCCAGAACAAGTGTAGTTTCTAACACTCTTTTACTATTAGATGTGCAAGGACAACCAAGAGTGTAAGGCAATCAGGTTCGGAACCTTTGATATACCTCTGATGAGTTCCGAGTTTTTCTACTCCCGAAGCCCGGCTAGCCTTGTCAACAAGGTTATTGCTGTTGACCCGTTGCCCTACATATCCATCACAGCCTGGTCGATCAGGCACCTGGTGAAGATACTTGTTCAGTTTCCTCTTGAATACCTCTACACTTGTTCCAGCAGTGTTTCTGATATCTTCTAAGATGCTGATTATAATAATCACGAGGAGCGCTAAACCCGTAGGATTATACAGCGCATGTGAGGGGAGGATGGAAGGTATTTAGGCTCAATTTAAGGAACCGGAGCACAGATGCAATTCCCTAGATCAAGAGCCCCTCACCAGCGTCAAGGAACCTCCCTTGAGGGGAGATGTTGAATAGTCTGGGGCCACGGACAGTGTTTGGGTAGCTGCAATTCTTTATATCAAGATCCCTTCACAAGTATTATGGTATCTGTGTCACCTCCACGTGGAAAATGTTTTAAGGTATTTTTATATCTTCCGTGAGGATGGTTAGAGCATCCTCCAACAATCCTCACAGAAAATAAAACAACCGTGCCTTGAGTAACCCAGTTTTTTTTCGTTTACTCCACTCTCATTTGAAGTTCTTTACTTTCACTCTCTGCCATCTGTTGTTAGTCAAAATATCCAGTTCCCCACTTTCCCTCTTACACTTCATCACCACGCTTTAAAACACTCAATCCTCGGTCACATTACAAAATGCCCTCGTGAAACACCATTACACCGCGTCTGCAGTATTTTCTTAAAAATGTTTCTGTTTTTTCGTAGCGGTATAGAAGTTGTTTGGGTGAGATAAGGGGGTACTGGATGGTGCTAAGGGGCTTGTAACCCCACACTCAGCCGACGTTGGTATCAGCCACTTAAATTATATCTTCACTACTGCTCCTTGATAAAAAAAAAAAACTGATTATTCCTTACTGGGAGATTCATAATTTTATATTTACATATGCATGTACATATGTATATATGAAGGTATACATGTATTCACCTATATGTGGTTGAAGGGGGCGATTCACAGTTCGTGTGTGTGTACCACCTATTTGTGGTTGCAGGGGTCGAGTCATACTTCCTGGCCCCGTCTCTTTTCTGATCGCTATTGGGTCCTCGAGATTCATCATACTTCGTCTTAAAATTATGTATGGTTCCTGCATCCACTACGTCACTTGTCATACTATTCCACTTCCTGACAACTCTGACTAAATACTTCCTAACATCTCGGACTCATCTGAGTCTTCAACTTTTAATTGTGACCCCCTGTTTCTGTGTCTCATCTCTGGAATACCCTTTCTCTGTCCACCTTGTCAATTCCTCGCAGTATTTTGTATGTCGTTATCATGTCTTCCCTAACCCTCCTGTCCTCCAGTGTCATCAGGCCGATTTCCCTTAACCTTTCTTCGTAGGGCATTACCCTTAGCTCTGGAACTAGCCTTGTTGCAAACCTTTGCACTTTCTCTAATTTTTTGACGTGCTTGACCAAGTGTGAGTTCCAAGCTGGTGATGTATACTCCAGTATGGGCCTGACATACATGGTGTACAGAGTCTTGAACGATTCCTTACAGAGGTATCGGAACGCTATTCTCAGGTTTGCCAGGTGTCCATATGCTGCAGCAGTTATCTAGTTGATGTGCGCCTCAGATGTGCTGTGTGTGTGTGTGTGTGTGTGTGTGTGTGTGTGTGTGTGTGTGTGTGTGTGTACTCACCTATTTGTGGTTGAGGGGTCGAGTCCTAGCTCCTGGCGTGTGTGTGTGTGTGTGTGTGTGTGTGTGTGTGTGTGTGTGTGTGTGTGTGTGCTCAATTGTACTCACCTAATTGTGGTTGCAGGGGTCGAGACTCAGCTCCTGGCCCCGCCTCTTCACTGACCGTTACTGGGTCCTCCCTCTCCCTGCTCCATGAGCTTTATCATACCTCGTCTTAAAACTATGTATAGTGCCTGCCTCCACTACATCACTTGTCAGACTATTCCACTTCCTAACAACTCTGTGGCTGAAGAAATACTTCCTAACATCCCTTTGACTCATCCGAGTCTTAAATTTCCAATTGTGATCCCTTATTCCTGTGTCCCATTTCTGGAACATCCTGTCTCTGTCCACCTTGTCTATTCCACGCAGTATTTTGTATGTCGTTATCATGTCTCCTTTGACCCTCCTGTCCTCCAGTGTCGTCAGACCTATTTCCCTTAACCTTTCTTCATAGGTGTGTGTGTGTGTGTGTGTGTGTGTGTGTGTGTGTGTGTGTGTGTGTGTGTGTGTGTGTGTGTGTGTGTGTGTGTGTGTGTGTGTGTGTGTGTGTGTGTGTGCGCGCGCGCGCGCGCGCGCGGGTGCTGTACCAGCACAAACTCACCATACTGACAGGCTTTAATACCCAACATTATTTACGGACCTTGAAAGAGTTTAATATTAATATAATTAAGGGGGAAAGCGCTAAACCTGTAGAGGTCATACAGCGCCTGGGTGAATGGGAGGCAGTCAAGTATCATTCAAGGACGGGAAAGGCAAGTCCAATTCTTTGCATCAAGAGCCCCTCACCGGGATCAAGGAACCTCCCTTGAAGGATTAAAAAGTTAAAACATTTATACTTATAACTTGCGTCTAAATTAATGTGAAACTAATACTACAAAATAATATGCCTAGAAGTATACTAGGTACTGTCTCAAATATCAATAAATGTCTACTTTTTGAAAGAGATTAAATATACAAGGTTCTTATTACCATATTTTATAAATTGAAAGTACGTACTTCAGAAATTCGAGTAATTTGCTTTGACAGCGTAAATCCTTTAGCTCAGTTGATAATAAAACAAATATACATCAAATAAAAATTTAACAAAAAAATTACTAGCATGAAGGAAATACATCAGTTTAAAAATAATTAATTTCTAATGTTAAAATGCTCTCCTAAAAGTTCCGAGATCCTTACAGGCACGAAGAAAAAGAACAGATGTAAGCCGTGAGTAAGTAAGCAAACAGTTAAAATGTATTTCACGGTCAGCTACTCGCCACAAGCTACACATACATAGAAGAGGAAACATCTGCAAACTATGTCTGAGGTGTATACTCTATCCTCAGTTGTCAGAGATTAGTCTGAATAGTAGCGATTCCTGTTTAAAGAGAAGGGGGGGGGGGGTCAAATAGCCACATCCTTCCAACCCCTGTATAACCTGCTTCTTGTCTATGTCCACCGGGACCGCCACTTCCCAAGAGCATACACATGTTTATGGTCCATGCTATACAGGTAATATGAAGGGATAAGTTATGTCTAACACCAAGACTGTAGTATACTTATGACCAAGGGAGGTTTTTCAAATGCTATTATTACATTTTAGGGGATCACACACATAAAGTACTGTAGTAACTGTAAATGTTTTCAATACGCTGTTATAGTTACGAGCTTGGCTTTCCTTAACCACTCACTTGAAGGCCTGTAACCGGACTCCAGTGACAGAGAACAGATGCACACAGCAGCTTCATCGCACCTTCAAGAGTTACATGCAGCAGAGCCTTGATCTGTTCTTAAGTGCTGTACTTTCTACTGTGATACTAGAGAAATACTAACTGGGATACACTATACGAAAGTTCTTTCTCGGCTTTCAGAGCGTACTTACAGGTTTGAGTGTGTAGGTGATATGAAGAAAGTAGCAGCTGTGGGCGTTTGAGATGAGAGAGAGAGGCAGTGTACACCCCAACACGGTGGAGTCAAGTCAGGCACTGGCAGCCACCGGCACCTCACACCACCATTCACATCTCAACTCGCCCCCTTATAACATACTGAGTACTTACTTTTTACACACAAAATCCTTAATTACACAAACACATCCATTTTCGTTTCTATATAAATAAAATCTTTGCTAGTTTAAGCCTTAAAAGCTTAGTTATTGCTACATAAAACATTCGAGGTAAGGTATGGAAACCTAGTCTCAGCGATGACGCAAGTACTTCCTTGCAGTCATGTGATTGGTTTGAGCCTCTTTGACGTCACAGCCACGCCTCCACACTGAATGCTATAGAAAAAAAAGGAAAACTTAATGGGAACTCAGGGGGTATTCCCTTATCAGTGCTTCCTGTGACGCTGCATTCCAGGATAGTTAATGCCATGACAACAAGACTAATCGCAGGTATTTAATTAATAGTACTAGTTAAGAAACATCATTTAGAAAACCCATAGTATTTTGATTAGTGAAATGGACAGCTGAAAACTAGAAAAAAATATATAAGAGCTGTTAATGCAAACGGTAGCTGTTATTTCCACGGGGGAAAAAATCAAGTCGAAATTACTCTTATTCATAAAACAAAGTGAATTACAGGTCTACTGGCTCATGTGAGGTGGCTTTTACTGTTATCCAGTATTACTCATTTGTTTGTCCAGCATATAGTACCAGCAACTTTACAGTCGTATTTACATCATTAATACTTCATAAAAACTTGTTCCACACATATTTAGCTCATATTTTCAAGCCAGTCTCTCCTTATTTCTAACAGCAAACTTTCCCACGTTGTTTTAAAGAAATGCAGGTTTACTGTTATGTCCGTCACTCGGACCCTCGAGTTAGATTAGCAATCCAGCGGTGGCTCTGCCATGGCTTGACATGGAGCCAACAACTACACATTGTATATGCGACAACAGACACCACACCTTAGAACACGCCAATAGAGTCTTCCTACTGAGCCTCCCGACAGAGCCACCGGCACTATTGAACGGGCCATCAAATAACGATGACCAGTGTCAAGGCAAAGGGTGACGTTAAGATTATATAAATTAAAAATACATGGAAGACAGAACACAAGTCTTCACTAGAGAAGTGGATTTAAGAGAGAAAACAGTCTGTGATTAGACCGTGCAAGCATTGACGTATTGTGATGCACCGTTCGAGGAATGGTGTATCAAGAGCTGTGGTGTCAAGGTGATTATAATGATGACTCAAGATGCCAATTACAGTGATCGAGATAGTTACTGAACACAATAATAAGTGTTAATACAGGTGAAAGCTCCTCCCCTCACCCTGACTAATGACAATACCCGCTTCAATCTGACTGTTGGTACTTACCTACAGTTGCAGGAGTCGAGTTTCAGCTCCTGGCCCTGCCTGAGACCACTAATGGGGTTTCTCTCTCCAGGCTGCATGAGCCCTACCATACTGATTCTTAAACTATGGGTGGATCCTGTCCCTACCACTTGGCTTTCTAGGTCGTTCCACTTTCTGACCACTCTTGGCTACAGTGATGTACAATAATAATAATAATAATAATAATAATAATAATAATAATAATAATAATTATTATTATTATTATTATAATCAAAAAGAAGCGCTAAGCCAATAATAATAATAATAATATCTTTATTTACTACAAGTACATGTACAAGGTATACAGGCCTAGTTGATATCAATGACATACTACTATACAGAAAGCCCCTTGTTATGCTGAGCATTTCGGGCAAATTAGGTCAGTGTCCCAGGATGCGACCCACACCAGTCGACTAACACCCAGGTACCCATTTACTTATGGGTGCACATAGACAACAGGTGTAAAGAAACACGCCCAATGTTTCTACCCTGGCTGGATGGTTCACATGGCTACAGTGGGCCGACAGCAGCAACAGCCGGGTTGACTAGGCAAGCGCCACATAAGCCTGAGTTAGGGTCGGAGTGCGGGAGTGTGGAAAACTACTCTCGAAACCCTTCAACGGTATATCAAAAGGCATACAGTGATGCAGGAACGTTCGTGTGCGTCTAGTGAGAGATCAAGTTAAATATATTATTCTCCTTCAAGCAGGTAGGTGAATTATTATCACTGGAAAACAGCTAAGCCCGTAAGATAAGATAAGATTTCGTTCGGATTTTTAACCCCGGAGGGTTAGCCACCCAGGATAACCCAAGAAAGTCAGTGCGTCATCGAGGACTGTCTAACTTATTTCCATTGGGGTTCTTAATCTTGTCCCCCAGGATGCGACCCACACCAGTCGACTAACACTCAGGTACCTATTTGCTGCTAGGTGAACAGGACAATAGGTGTAAGGAAACGTGTCGGAATTTCCACCCGCCGGGAATCGAACCCGGGCCCTCCGTGTGTGAAGCGGGAGTTTTAGCCACCAGACCACCGGGCCACCGGTGGGATACAGTAGGGATACAGTACCTGGGGAATGAGGTGCAATCTGGTTTGATTCAAAAGAAGACTGTTCAACTGCCCATAAGCATACATAAGGGGGATTACCAATAGACCCCTGGCTGTCTTCAAGGCGGCTTTGAACAGGCACCTAAAGTCAGTACCTGGTCATCCGGGCTGTGGTTCGTACGTTGGTTTACGTGCGGTCAATAGTAACAGCCTGCTTGATCAGGCCCTGATCCACCATGAGGCCTGGTCAAAGACCGGGCCGCGGGGGCGTTGACCCCCGAAACCCTCTCCCGGTATACTCAGGGTACCTAAATTCCTTCAGTCAGGAGCGTTTCATCAACATCAGCTGCTTCAAGGTTGAAGAACTGAGACGCTTATTGAAGTAACGTTTCGCCACACAGTGGCTTCATCAGTCCAATACCTCAATCTCCTCCTCTCCTTACCCATTTCTACTTTGTATTGGACTGATGAAGCCACTGTGTGGCGAAACGTTTCTTCAATAAAGATTCCCATATATTGCATAAGTGTCTCAATTCTTCAACTTGTCGGTTTTCAAAACCATTCATGGTTCAGGTTCTTCAAACTGCTGGTAACAAATTGAAAAAAAATATTGTTGGAACAAAGGCAGGCGTTACTAACAGGAACCAGGATCCATACCTCCTCCAAACCGTTATAGCTGTGCAGGCCTGCGGACTAACAGCAACAGCCTGGATGACCACACTGTGTTTAGAGTAAAAGTCTATGTGTAGAACAAATTTCTATAATACAGTTCTTTCAAAAGAAGGTCATTAAGGTGAACACAGAACTGAGTTGCTATCTGACAACCTAAAGTTGTAATCTACTCCCTGCTTTGCCAATTTATCAATTCTATTATGTATTTCAGTGTCAGGGAGATGCCATAAAAGATATGCTCCGACTTCATTGTCTAAAAATACCACACTAAATGACACTCGTGGAGCTAAGAGTATTTATAGACGATCAGGAATCACAATTAAGGTGTCAACTTTGAACACATGAACACATTGCGTAAGATGCACTACAGTTCAGTTCAAAGGGCGGAAGCCCAATTGTTGATACCTTCTCATATTTCTATAGAAGAGTCATCGCTCTGCATAACACTGGCACTACCAGCTGCACCATCACCTTAATTAGTGGAAGAATATTTAGCTTTCAAATATTATTATTATAATCAAAAAGAAGCGCTAAGCCACAAGGACTATACAGCGCTGCAGGGCAGGAAGGAAGCGAGGGCATCAGGTGGCAAAAGGGAGATGGATGAGTAATAGGTTACGGATAACAGCGGGGTAGTGGATGGTGAAAGGGTAAAGGGCAGCAAGAGACTGAACTAGAAAGGGCTGAGGGGAGTGCGAAAAGTATCATCAGAGTTTGTGGAGTAAATCGGTCGTTGTCAAGAAGTCAAGGAGAGAGTCAGGATTAAAGGAGGGTCCATCAGCAAGAAGGGAAGGTAAAGAGAGAGTAGTAGAACGAAGACGACGTTGGAGGTAAATTCTGCGTGCTCGTTGATGAGAGAGGGCAGTCTAACAGAATGTGGCTAATCGATACTGGAACTTGACACTGCTCACAGAGAGGAACAGGGTGCCTCTCCATGAGATACCCATGAGTAAGACGAGTGTGGCCAATGCGAAGGCGGGAGAGATGGTCTCCCCAACCTCGGCACTGATGACAAGAAGACGGCCAGTAACCTATGCTCGGTTTAATAGAATGAAGTTTGTTACCGAGCAGAGTTGACCAACGTTGTTGCCAACGGGTGCGAAGGTGGGTAGCTATTGCAGCAAAATAGTCCAGAAATGGAACACCTCGATAGGAAATCGGTAGGCCATGTACTGCTGACCGCGCAGCAGTGTCTGCCTGTTCATTGCCTGTACGTCGACATGACCAGGGACCAACAAAAAAAACAATATCTTTATGTTTTGGTAGAGATACGGCGTAGCCAAAGTTGGATACGGAGAACTAGGGGATGAGATGTATTCAAATTTTTCGTATAGCCTGTAGAGCACTAAGGGAGTCTGAGACTACTACAAATGATGACACAGGCATAGATGCGATACGAATAAGTGCTGCAAGAATGGCATACAGTTCAGCAGTAAAAATGCTAGCTGAAGATAGTAAATGTCCCGCACGACGCTGTCTGGAAACACTGCTGCGAATCCGACGCCGTCTGAAGACTTAGAGCCATCTGTGTACACAGCGGTGGCATGAGAATGGGAGTGGAAGTGATCAAGAAAAGAAGAGAGCGGGAAGCCACCATAGGCAGTTGAGCTTTCGAGCAAGGGAGTGAGAAAGAACAGACCGAACAGCTGGAACTTCCCAGGGGGGTAGGGAAAAGTGAGATGCTACATGAACATATAAAGGTGGTAACTGAAGGGAAGACAAGAGTGAATGTAGGCGAAGAGAAAAAGGGATGGAGCAAACAGGGGCGGCGAACGAATAAAGAATGTCTACTAATATCGGTGACCATTCTATAAATGGAAGGATTGTGTAGATCGGAGAGCGTACATAGTAGTGAAGGCAATGGGCATCACGGCGATCAGACAAGGATGGTAATTCGCTTCTGATAGAGGCTCTCAACAGGGAAGAGCGAAAAAGCACCAAGGCAAAACGTAATCCTTGGTGATGGATAGAGTTAAGG